CAAAAACTAAGTTCAAAAACTAAGTTATCTGTAGCATCTTTTAATATGGCACCTAATAAAATGAGGGATATTCATAAATGAAAACATATCTCTCCCTTTCCATAATAGTTAAAAATAAACCCATACTTGTGTACTAATCTGCTGCAACTCGTTTCCAGAAAATAAGTTAAAAGTATATTTACTTGAGGCCAAGTGCTGCTAAGTAATATTAAGTACTCACTTTAAATTCCTGTACTTTTAAGTTTTACTAGTGTCTACATTAAGTGCTAACAATTGACTTGTTACTAATACCAAAAACAGACTACAACTTTAGTGTCACACACAACATCCAGCAAACTCCTTCTTTCTAAACTTTCCAAGTACACCTGAACTTATGACTAAATATATCTCAGAAATTTTATGTAGGAAAGTGGTTCCTTCAAGATAATATATTTTTCACACATGAATTTGAATATTAAATTTAATACATCTGCCCTAAAAAAATGCTCCCAAGTTGAAGAAACATAATTTGGCCTACAGAGAACTCTACTTACCCTGATACAGATTTAGACTTGAGACAAGTGTCTTATGAGGCCAGTGATTGTGTTAAATACTGAAATAAAAAGTCCAATGAAGATGTGCTATTCTAATTCCCATTCTTAGTACTTCCTCTCCACTGTCATGATATTGCTGTGGGGGCTCTGAGTTGCCTGTTGTAAACTAAGCATGATGTGCCTGGTTTCAAAGGAGCAGCTCCTGTTGCCACAGGTTCCTGTAACTGGGCATCAGCAAGTCCAAATGGGCCTCATTTTTCCCCAGATTTCAACCACTGATCAAGTTCTTTTGGAACTGCTTTCTCTTGAAAGATCTTTTTTTTTTTTTTTAAATGACAGATCATTTGTCTTATATTAGGCACAGTTCCACAAATATTTTTAGAGAAGGCAAAATTTGAATGGGAATTATCCCTATTGAATAATAAAAGTATAGGAGACTAGCTTTTTTCTTTTTTAGTTTTATTTTTAAATTTTTGGCTGCGCCACATGGCTTGTGGGAACTTAGTTCCCCGACAGGGATCAAACCCAGGACCATAGCAGAGAAAGCGCTGAGCCCTAAACACTGGACTGCCAGGGAATCCCCAGGAGACTAGTTTTTTTAATGTGGCTTCAAACATTAGGGTCAAGCATAAAAATCTTTACAAAGGCCAGGAAAATTCTGAAGATATGATCCACTTCTTTGTTTCCTGGAAGTACTTGAAGATACTAGATACCATGAATATTTTTAAAAGGGGTATTTCTCATTTAACAACTATTTAATAGTCAGTAAATCTGTATTAAATAAATTACGATTTACTCTAAACAATCTTTATCAGTTTACTTATTGCATGGTAAAGTTGAGAGTCTAGAAACTAGTGTAATATAGATAATACACTAAAGAAACTACTATTTTGATAGTAAAGTATACAACTTTCCTAGATAATAAATACTATAGTGTAGTACGTATCTATACTAAAGTTGCATAGTAAAGTTGATAGTATTGATAGTATAGTCAAAATACACTTCCTCTTTCATCTAAAGTTTACATCACATTGCTATGCCATCTAGAGTGCCTATTTTAAAACAACCTTTAAAAATTTCTCAACCAGTGAAGGCTTTTACAAGAGTTTTGGATTGCCAAGGATACTGGAGAAGGGATGAGAAGGAAGTTCATGTAGAATAAATGGCATTGTGCATGTGGAAAGAAGATTCAAGAGAAATATCAAAGTAGGGAGATAGTGAAACATAAGAGATTTTACCCTTTTATCTCACAATAAGACCTGAAAGTTTTCTTTGGAAGGTAACTTAGAAACACAAATAGTAATGCCAGTAAGATTTAAGTTTTTTCACTCACTGATATTTATAGCTTGTAGGTACACTTACCTATAATTGCTTTCCTTTTTAATTTTAAAATTTATAGATTCTAAGTTTAACAACATCAATATACCTGGCATCATTCTATCACCTACAAATTGGAGAATCTATGTCAAATCATAATATACTGATAATTTCTGAGCATACTTATTGGCCTTCTGTTACTGAGAGCCATTAGTGATAGCTTGATGGTTTTAACATTGTGAAATGCTACGTATGTGTATGCCCAGCAAACGCTAGCCTGAAATAAAGTCTCTCTGAACAATAGGGAGCTTTGCATATCATTCTCTACCATAAAGATGGGTGCCAGTCATAACTGGTTTAATATTTGTTACCCTAGTCACAGATATATGCTCTGTGATGATCCTGATTGCCTGTGTTTTAAAGCCTACATTAAAGACCCAAGTCTTGATTTTCCATCCTGATTATATATCCTACTCTTACTCTTTTCTGTGACATTTATTATGAAGCATTTTGACCAAACAGCAAGATCTGGAAATAAAAAAACTCCCTAGATCAACAGAAGATTGCTAGTCATTTGTCTGCATTCTCTGGTTATACTTATATAGAAGGAAGATTGTTTTCCTTTTCATAAAGTCTCATATTACCCAATGAATCAAAACAGCAGCGTTTGGAAGAAAGCCATAATTAATGACAATGAAACAGACCAGTCTCAATGTGTCCAGAACTATTAACCTAAAAACTTGGTTAAAAAAATAGATTTTGTGGGAAAACAGACTTAGTCTCAACTGAACAAATGAGGCAGAAAGTTTTCAAAGATACTCTTGATGAAGGTATGCCCTCTGGATCTTTCTCTGATGACTGTAATTATTTTGAATTTCGTCATTTATACAGAAGGTGCCTATTGGTCCATCTCTATACTAGTTTGCCTCTTTTGAAGCAGAAGGTTACTAGTTGAATAAGAATGAGAATTTAAGCTTAATGAACCTCCTGCTTAGTTGGGCTGGGTGTGGGGGAGTAAGGAGGTGTGGGTAAGGTGAATGGTGGTTAGCCTTCAGTGCACTTCCAGTATTCTCAAAGACAGGACAAAATGACTGTGGTTTTGGCATGCAGGGTCCAGCTTGCTCAGGAAATTGTGGCATGTATAAAGCAAAGCACATAAACAAACTCTTAACCCAGGAAGCTGAGTTTAACAATTGCCTCATTAACAAGATCCAGGGAAAGACAGGAAAAGAGGGGGAGGCCAATAGCTGATTATTATACAGTTCTAGACAGATGAAGCCCTTCAGCTTCTCCCTAAACAATCCCTGTAGTGTGGATTTGACAAAGTGGTACATTTAAGAGGGAACACTCTTGCTATCAATGGGAGTCAGGCGCACCCTTATCTGAGGGCCAAATTCAGTCCCTGGAACTTGACTTTATCAGTAGACACAAGACAGAGGACAAGGCAGCTACATCCACAGAGAATTAATTAAGAGCAAGTGCTACATCCAGTGAATGTAATCAATAGTGTGAACAGTAATCTACATATCACCCTCTGTTGCTGTCTCCCTTTCTATTTACTACTATTTCAATAGAGATTTATTTGCCACATGGCCTCATTGAAATTACATGTTTCTCATGTTGCATCAAACAAAATATTCCCTTAAAGACCAAATATTCTAATGTCACTTTTAGTTTCTGAATGGCTGAAATCTTTTTGGGTAGAATTTTATCATAGATAATTTATTTGTTTGGCTTTCTCCGTGCACATTTCTCCAGTTTCATATGCGAAGTGTGTTCAAATAAACCTGACTTCAGTATTGCCAAAGTCTACACCCAAATATGTCTTTGCTGGCTAATTTTGTTCTATCTCCTTTAAAAATTGTCCCTTTTGAACATACCATGGAACCCCTCTCGAATTATTACAGTGTTGTTTGCAAACACAAAATACTGTTTTAACACAAACTTTTCAGTAGTAGTATTTGTTTCTTATATCTGTCTCAACTTCTCCCCCACCCAGCACATATACCCAAAATACATTGCAGTTCCCTTTTTGAAACCAATCATATAATTTTGTATTGTTTTCACTCCTACTAGGCAACAGTACAGGTCTCATTACCTTCATTTTTCAAAGGCTTACCAGAAACATCATTTTTCAAGACCAGGTTCTTGGTTAATTCCTTTGGCAAAGATTCTGATTTCTTCTTGAATCTGTGCTTTGTATGAATCTCTCCTAAGCAGCACTGAGACCAGAGTAATTTATCAGTCGTCACTTTTGACCCCAGCTTTGCTCTAACCCCAGCAATTCAACAGCAGCCTTTGTTACTTAAGGAAAATAGGAAACTCTGCCTCCTGGACATAAACATGTGAATTTTTCTATGTCCAGGACCAAAAGGGTGAAAAGGGCAGATTTTACCAACATTTCCTTAAGAAACAAAGTCCCACTTTTAACACATGTGGACTATCAACCACATGTGTGATGCTTTGGTCATAAGTCACATTTTAGAGGTCTACGTGTGAACAATTTTGAATCGTTACTGGGTCTAATTTTACAGATCTTACTTACCCCATACTCCCTTTGCAACAGTAGAGAGTGTGACTTGAGTAAGCACAATAAAATCAGAGCCCAGTTTTCCCTCTGATCATAATTGCATTTATAAATAAATGTGATTTACAAAGTTAGCATTGATACAATTCAGGATTTTCTAAAATATAATGATGTCATAATAAATGAAACATTGAAATGGAAAAAAAGTGTTTTTCTAGAAGATATTGATTTCTTCTTAGAAACTAGCAGGCAGGCATAATTTTAAAAATAATGAAAAAATGTAGAATTATTACTGACACAATGAGAATGTAGATTTCAGTGACCAAAAAAAGTTGATGAGATATAGAAGCATATGCTACCCATGTTTTAGGCCCACTGGAAGCAGCTAGTGTTCAACCAGTTTGGTTTTTATATGGCCTTAAAAGATATATGTCAATTAAGATTAATTATTCTAAAATTAAAAAAAAATACCTGATTGTTGACCAAAAAATGTGAAATGGAGAAACAGAAAAACAAACAAACATACCATGTTCACACACAAAACAAAATAATTCTCTCAGGGACATCAGGGAAGGTGGAATACTATAACAACACATGTTATATTGTTATACTATTCCACCCACCTTAATGAAGAACCCTTGGGTGTTGCTACTCCATAGCCTTTCGAATCCAGATTTCCTCCCACTTTCATTGTGTCACATGGCTTTCGCTGCTCAATGTATTCATTCATAGTGGACTCCAGGAGAAAGGCAAATTTGCCCTTGGATTTTCGGACACGAGCTACTCCCTCAGCTGTAGTCCTAGTGAACACTGATGGCTCTGCTGATCGCATGTAGGTCCACATCTTTTCATACACTGCTATTTTTGATCTCTGGAGGACATTAAAATAAAATTAAATACAGGAAAGAAGGGAACAAGATGTTAATATTGACTGAACCGAGATAAGGATAAAGCCTTCTACGTTACCCTCTAATTGCAATTTGCCATAATAACATTATTCTTTTACAATTAGAAAACTGCCTTTTACAACTGTTTAAGAAAATCACTGAAATGAAAAACATTTAAAAGTGATATTTGGAGAAAAAGGTACCTCATGTCATAATAACTACCTTACTCAACTGCTTAAAGAACAACTTATTATTATTATAAAATGTAGACAGCCATAGAGAGAGTTGTACTGAATTAAACAAGGAGAGTTGTTATATTGTTTTATTTTCATATTTTTCCATGCCTCAAAGTTTTAATGTAAACCATTCTAAAAAAATATAAACAAAATGTGTAGTCCCTATCAAGTCAGTATTTGAACACCAAAGGAGGAGGAGAAATCTGCCCTAGTTTACAAACCAAATATCCATAAAACAAGAATCAAACTAGGTTCACCAAAACATTTTTAGACCTTTTTAAACAAAATCTCCAAATAGAACATATATTAAACTTTAAAGAGAAGTAATTCTTGTTTTCCCACTTTATATTTTGGAGAGTTAGTTTTTCTAATCCCTTGACTTCAGCCAAGAAACTTACTTATATTTTTGTTTATTTGGGCTGTATCTACATTATTTGCAGGACTTAATTTATCCAATTCATTTTGTCGGTATCTGCATTCATATTAGATTTTTTCATCCACACATTTTTTCACACGAAAATATATCCAAATGAACTCAAATGTCCCCAAACGATATATTTAATAAAATAGAAAAGCCCAAATCCTGTTTGGCGTTTGACAATACAATGATACACACAGACTTTTATCAGGTGCAATTAATTTTGTTCAATAGCAAGATGTGGAAATTTTGCATCTGGATCCAAATTAAAAGTAATGGAGACTTCAGTCAAACCTAAATCTAAGCATGAGGCCAAATCCTGAGTAGCATGTATACTTATTTACACCAACCTTGTTTTGTTTACCAGAAGATAGAATCCAACAAGAAGCAGATCTTCAATAATCAACAAGGTACCCAAATGGCAAATTTAAGAATGCATGTTTTAGGTAAAAGCAAATTACTCAGGTGAACAAAGAAACTGATAAAAGTGGTATTCAAAATTTTGGCTTCATAAGGCGGAAATTTAGTAATCAATAAATCTATATAATAAGTCACACAATAAGAGATTTGCATACCTAAACACCAAAAAACCCCAGATATTTTATGTTAATGTATATTCAAATGGTGATAAATATCAGATAGGAAATAGATATCCTGTATCCTCTGAAATGTTTTTATGTTATTAACACTTGAAAATATGATTCAGAGATTCTGATATGTTTGTGTATGTGTGTTTAGGTAATGACAGGTTACTTCTGGCTACAGAAATCCTCACGTTAGGAAAATTCTATGCCAGATATAATTCAGTTGCAAAGATTCTATATTGTACCAGGACAGAAGAGTATCTGGATTCAGAACCCTTAACCATGAGATCCACTAGGGAGGCCATGTTGCCAGGCCTCATTCACTCCATCTCTGATAATGAAGTTCTCTTCTAGAGTATGAACTACTCCATTTTATAATGAGTTCCAATTTCTGAAAATTATCAACTCTCTGGATCACTTGATACTGATTGTGTTTAAACATCTATCCTGATGATTTCAATTTAGATGTGTTGCTAAACAACATCATTTAGGCATATAATCACTTTTTTTAATGTATTGATAGCTTCACTTCAGAGTTACACCCCCAAAGATACAGAGTTCTATATATATTTTTTGCTTCACTATGTATACTACATTGAAACCAGAAGAAATAAAATCTGAGTATTATTTTAATTAAATTTTTTTTGAAAAATTTTAAGAATATGAGAATCATGCTAGTTACTTGGCAATTTTCTACTTATTTTTTATATCTTATTAAAGGAAAAGAGAACAGCTAAACAAAACTAAGGCAGCAAAATGGAAAAAGAGTACTTTTAGGGCTTGGTAATTATGAAGATAATTTAACTATATAGAATGCAATATAATATTAAAGCAAATGATTTTTTTAAAGGAATAAAATACCTTTAGGTCATTGATATTTTATAGATGTCCATTCCCATAATATTAATGTGAGGAAAATTAGTACTGCTTTTGTTTAAGTATATTGAATTACATATACCTTAAGTGCAAAAGAAGTTAAATTAATTCCTTTAAAGTCCAGAAGAAAGAGGAATCTGTAGTGTAATTATGCTTAATTTCTTATGTATAATAGAAATTATAAAATACACACTTTCAGTGGAAAATAGAGGAATGATGAAAGAAACTTTTTGGGAAAAAAAATTTATATGGTGTGTCACTATGTTAATGTTTAGAAATTCTGATTCTGATTTTAAGGGGCATGGTTTAGATAAAATCAAGTCCACATGGTGGAGAGGGTGAGGTTGGGAAATTCAGGAGGTAAAGGACTGGAAATAATATCGCTGTGCCTTACTTGTGACTGTAAGAGGGTGTTTGCTAAGGAATGAGGATAAGGTAATTTTTATAAATTTGATGAGACAGACTAAAATGAGATTTTTGCAGACCCAGTAAGCTCATAAATGTAGTGATAGTGGGACTTTTACATCTTCATCTTCAATTGTGATATCTACTTAAAGATCAGGTTTGGGGAGTGAATATGCTCAAGGTAATAAGCAAAGATAATATGTCATTTTTTTTTAAATTATAAAATTGATCTCAGATTTACTTGTTTCATCTTTATTGTGAAACACAATGCATGGGAAACTATTTAAAGCATTATTTCATTACTTATAATAATTCTTGGAGATTTAAAAATGTGCTATCCTTTTAATTTTTCAAAATTAAGTATTTTGCCATTTCTGCTTTTAATAGAAAATATGTAAAAATGTCATGCACTATAGTTGATATTTACATTGTTATCAGGTGAATTATTTCCTGCTTTTAGTAGCTTATGCAGCAAGACTGATGTTCCAGTAGGAGCTTATCAATGTACTATTTGATAATATTATAAGCCCTGAAATACTAATCCATCTCATTTATGCATTCATGATTTCACTGATGACTGAAACAGGTACAGGATAAAATCTGCACTGAAATGAAAATCAGTGTGTTTAAATCAGGTTTATAATAATGTAAAAGTACCTTTAAAAAAGCCTGTCATTAAGTGACAAGTACAAAATTCCTTTAAATGCCTCTGTGTGTATGCTTAACAAGTGGCACAGAACATGAAACATATCAAGTTTCATAATGGTACAAAACCAAGGCAACAGTTGAATTCTGATGTAATTTTCTCCCATGGCCTAATTCTTTTTCCAGAACAACTGCAACATTTTTTGAAATGCTGAGTATTCATTTCCTGAGGCAGTTTAGTGAAGCTGATAGATGTTCCATTACTGTGTTCCTATAAGAAAACATTTTTGACAAGGGCAAAAATACCTTTCACGTTCTGTTTCCTCAACAACCCATCAGACAAATGATTTATTTAAACCAGGTGATCATGTATGAGAGAGGAGGGAGAACATAGGGTAGGAAATGAAGGAGATTTTTATCAGAGATCTCAAATTTATGCATTCCTGGAAGTATGCTTTCAGGGAAAATTATTTTCTTGTCCTATTAGGGTTCAAACTATTCTGCAACATAAATACCTATACATATAACACTCTTTCAATTTTAAAACTATAATTGGGTGGGACAGAAAGGAAACAGGGCATGGTGACTGCACTACTTATATGGGAGGCTCTGTATCTAGGAAGCAGCTTTCCTTATTCCTATATTTCTAATCAATATATTCTCTTACCTACTTCATTAGTTTTTCAAACTTGAGCAGTTTTTTAAAACTCTATAAAGATTAGAAATAACATTCGCAATGTATTTGATGCCAAAGAGCTCTACAGTGAGTTATTTTTGAAACATTTTCAGGGAATCAATATGATATTTCTTTTCCCCTTTCTCACTCAAGGCAAAATGATGAACCTACAAATATCTGCTTTATTTACATGAAAATCAGTCATCATTTTTCAGTAAAATGTAAATGATAGCACAAATTTGTATTCTATTTTGATGCATATACATAATGGTTTTTAGTCAAAGTCACTAAATTTTACCTAGTTTCTTTTGGGTGGAAACATAGATTTCCAGAAAAGTACTGAAATTATGCTAAAATGTGTTAGAGCAGTGTGTTACTATATTAAGCTTTAGAAACTGGGATGCACTCAGTAAGTTAAAAAATTTGGCTAATTAAGTTTATCCATAGAATATTGTTAATAAAATATATTGTCATGACAATTATTCACAGTTTTAGAAAAATCTACAAGTAGTTTATAATTAATTTACAAATTTTATATCTATTAGTAATGCTCCAAATTTTTGACAAAGATGTTCACTGTCTGTTTTTTTTGAAAACAATGTGCAATGATGGGTTTGGCACAATTTTTGAGTGATTTGTTCCTGATTTAGTGTTACATAAACATCTGTCATATCTAAGAATACTATAATTGAATTTTTTTTTAAAAGAAATATTATTGAAATTCAAGTGCATGAAAGTTAAGGCTGGCTTAAGGAGTAGTATCTTTTGTTGTTTTTAATTTCCAAGCTGAGTGAGAAAACAATAAATATACACATTTAAAATGAAAATGTAATCTCCCAAGTACTGTATATAAGTGTGAATTTACTTTAAAGGGCTATCATTAATTTTACACAATAGTTTAGGAAATAGTGAAACATATCTTGTCTTCTAAATTACTAAATATTTAGTCTCTAAGTAATTGATGTTAAATATAAGATGCCACAATTACCTAATGAAATATCTGTGAAAATTTCACCCTGACCACTTTTTAGTTTTTTGGTTCTAAAGTCACAAAATTAACCCTTATCTCTGATCACACATTGTGAAATTTCTGGATTTAAGTAAAAGCAGAGTGAAAGAGATTCACAGATCAAAAAATTCATCCTTATAGTGGTACAAACAGCTAAAAACAAAACCTCCAAAATACCTGCCATCATGATGGCAAGCCAAAGGAATTATATCCATATGTGAAACGCAATTATATCAGTTTGAACAATTTTATCTGCAAAAGCAGAGAAATCAGCAAAAATGCAATATCATACAATGTTTTACAAAGATGCTAGAACTTAGTAGTTCTTGTTCCCATTATCATGTGAGAAAGCAAATATATTGCTTTGAAATCCATTGTTACAGAATAGATTATAGAATAATAAACATCATATAGGTACTATAACATGAAATTAAGGTTTTGGGATTCAAATGCAGCAAGGTAAATGTATTCTTTGAAAAAAAAAAAAGCCATGCTTTCATTTTTATGCTCTAAATTCCAAAGCATAGATAAATCCAAATCTTGCCAGATGAAGTATCTTCATAGCATTATGAATACTGGAATCTTTGGGATAAATTATGTTATAAAGTTGCTTTATTTACCTTTTTGTTGTTACTTTTCCTTCGTAAGGGTCCCTCTTGCAATGTGAATAAATCAATTAGCTTTTTCAAATTAAAGTGATTATAAAATCCAAGTAGAAGTATATAACATTGCTATGTTTAAACATAGCAGTTACCATTATGTTTGCAAAACTTATAATAGCTAGAGCCCATAATATAATAATTGGCAAAATTGCCTGAATTTGAAAGTTATGAACATTTCCTTTTTAGTTTTCCCCTCAACTTACTCTGAAGAATTCTTTTGTTGACCCTGAATCCAATGTTCCATAGGCAATTTCTGTTTGTTTGGCCAGGTCTTCCGCACTTTCTATGGGGGAGACCATTCTCTCGACAGTCAGGAAAGCAGCGAGGTTAGCAGTATAAGATGATATAATGATGAGTGTAAAGAACCACCAAACACCTCCAACAATTCGACCTGAGAGGGATCTAAACATGGATAAGATAATAACATTTTCCTTTCTATAATCAACATAAAGAAAAGAAATACCATCAATTCACCGTGTATGTTTAATAATAATTACAAGTATCATTTTATGTTCTGAATAGTCTACTCAGAATGGTTCTAGTATTTCTGTATCACCTGACATCCTTTTTGCTATATTGAATGTATAAATGCCACATTTAGAATACTTTTCCTTTTTATTGCTTACTTGGCAGAAATGTAGAACCAAAAGCCTTTCCTTCAGGTCCAGAAGAGGAATGCTTACTTAAATTCATTGATCCCTTTTGCACTTTAGCATCTCTAAAATTAAGATGCAGCCTATGTTTGATGAGATAAAACACAGCACCATAGTTTGATTTGCAGCACTGTTTATCTCTCTGTGGGAATGTATAAATGCCACATTTAGAATACTTTTCCTTTTTATTGCTTACTTGGCAGAAATGTAGAACCAAAAGCCTTTCCTTCAGGTCCAGAAGAGGAATGCTTACTTAAATTCATTGATCCCTTTTGCACTTTAGCATCTCTAAAATTAAGATGCAGCCTATGTTTGATGAGATAAAACACAGCACCATAGTTTGATTTGCAGCACTGTTTATCTCTCTGTGGCACATAAAATAGGAATACATCTTAACAATTGGTGAGCTCTTAGATTTGGTACAAGATGGCAGATGCTCTTCTGAGAGAACTTGTTTTTTACCTTCAGTCAGAGCTATGCCAAGATGGATGGGACATATGCCAAGGTGGGGCTGGACCACATGAAGATCTAGGATTGTAGATCCAAAGTAACCAGATTGTAGATCCAAAGTAACCATAGTTGAGAATGTTCTGTTTGTTTGTTGGTTGGATTGATATTCCATTTCTTATCTGAATGGAGGATGAGCTATGTCTTAAAGTTCTTTACATACTGGTATAAAAATGTTCTCTCTGCCACTTCCAACATGAGACCAAAGCATGTGACTTATTAATATGCAGTGTAACAGCACTGAAAACTGAGGCTAGCGCTCAAAAGAACATTTTCTCTTCACCATTTCTCTGGTTATCAGGGATGTGTGGGTGAGCAGAAGAAAAGTGAGAATGAAATGAATAAAAATTCAGAGCATAATCATAATTGATCTCATTCAACAGGACTATCAGACTATCTAAAATTCCTGTGACAAATTATTTTTAAACATTTTCTTAATATGAGGAAAGATTTCATATTTTCAATGGCATTTCTAGCTTAAAATGCTCCCTTCTTAACCATTATTATATAAGTGACACCTGTTGGTTTTAACTTAACATTTGCTTAATCCTGGTTTTAAAACCATAAAACTGGGGATTTGTTCAAGATTGTGGAGTAGAAGGATGTGCGCTCACTCCCTCTTGTGAGAACACTGGAATCACAACTAACTGCTGAACAATCATTGACAGGAGACACTGGAACTCACCAAAAAATTACCCCACATCCAAAGACAAAGGAGAAGCTGCAATGAGACAGTAGGAGGGGCACAATCATAATAAAATCAAACCCCATAACCACAAGGTGGGTGACTCACAAATGGGAGAACAATTATTCCACAGAAGTCCACACACTGGAGTGAAGGTTCTGAGCCCCACATCAGGCTTCCCAACCAGGGAATCTGGTAACGGGAGGAGGAATTCCCAGAGAATCAGACTTTGAAGGCTAGCGAGATTTGATTGCAGTACTTCGACAGGACTAGGTGAAACAGAGACTCCACTCTTGGAGGGCACACACAAAGTAGTGTGTGCATCAGGACCCAGGAGGAAAGAGCAGTGACCCCATAAGAGACTGAATCAGACCTACCTGCTAGTGTTGGAGGGTCTCCTACAGAGGTGGGGGATGGCTGTGGCTTACAGTGGGGACAAGGATACTGGCAGCAGAAGGTCTGGGAAGTACTCCTTGAGCTCTCCCAGAGTCCACCATTAGCCACACCAAAGAGCCTGTAGGCTCCATTGTTGGGTCACCTCAGGCCAAACAACCAACAGGGAGGGAACCCAGACCCACCCATCAGCAGACAAGCAGATTAAGGTTTTACTGAGCTCTGCCCACCAGAGCAACAGCCAGCTCTACCCACCACCAGTCCCTCCCATCAGAAACCTTGCACAAGCCTCTTAGATAGCCTCATCCAATAGAGGACAGACAGCAGAAGAAAGAAGAACTACAATCCTGCAGCCTGTAGAATGAAAACCACATTCACAGATAGATAAAATGAAAAGGCAGAGGGCTATGTACCAGATGAAGGAACAAGATAAAACCCCAGAAAAACAACTAAATTAAGTGGAGATAGGCAACCTTCCAGAAAAAGAATTCAGAATAATGATAGTGAAGATGATCCAGACCTTGGAAAAAGAATGGGGGCAAAGACTGAGAAGAGGCAAGAAATGTTTAACAAAGACCTAGAAGAATTAAGGAACAAACACCCAGAAGAATTAAAGAACAAGCACAGGTGAACAATACAATAACTGAAAAGAAAAATACACTAGAATGAATCAATAGCAGAATAACTGAGGCACAAGAATGGATAAGTGACTTGGAAGATGGAAAGTTGGAAATCACTGCCACAGAACAGAATAAAGAAAAAAGAATGAAAATAAATGAAAACAGCCTAAGAAACCTCTGGGACAACATTAAACACACCAACATTTGCATTGTAGGGGTCCCAGAAGGAGAAGAGATAGAGAAAAGACCCAAGAAAATATCTGGAGAGATTATTTGAAAACTTCCCTAACATGGTAAAAGAAATAGCCACCAAAGTCCAGGAAGCACAGAGAGTCCCAGGCAGGATAAATCCAAGGAGAAACATGCCGAGACACATAGTAACCAGATTGACAAGAATTAAAGACAAAGAAAAAATTTTAAAAGCAACAAGGGGAAAATGACAAATAACATGGAAAATGACAAATAACATGGAAGTCCCAGAAGGAGAAGAGATAGAGAAAAGACCCAAGAAAATATCTGGAGAGATTATTTGAAAACTTCCCTAACATGGTAAAAGAAATAGCCACCAAAGTCCAGGAAGCACAGAGAGTCCCAGGCAGGATAAATCCAAGGAGAAACATGCCGAGACACATAGTAACCAGATTGACAAGAATTAAAGACAAAGAAAAAATTTTAAAAGCAACAAGGGGAAAATGACAAATAACATGGAAGGGAACTCCCATAAGGTTAACAGCTGATTTCTCAGCAAAAACTCTACAAGCCAGAAGGGAGTGACACAATATATTTAAAGTGATAAAAGGGAAGAACCTACAACCAAGATTACTCTACCCAGCAGGATCTCACTCAGATTCGATGGAGAAATCAAAAGCTTTACAGTGGGCTTCCCTGGTGGTGCAGTGGTTGAGAGTCCGTCTGCCGATGCAGGGGACACGGGTTCGTGCCCCGGTCCAGGAAGATCCCACATGCTGCGGAGTGGCTGGGCCCATGAGCCATGGCCGCTGAGCCTGCGCGTCTGGAGCCTGTGCCCCGCAATGGGAGAGGACACAGCAGTGAGAGGCCCGCATACCACACAAAAAAAAAAGCTTTACAGCCAAGCAAAAGTTAAAAAAATTCAGCACCAACAAACCAGCTCTACAACAGATGCTAAAGGAACTTCTCTAAGCAGGAAACACAAGAAAAGGACCTACAGAAACAAACCCAAAACAATTAAGAAAATGGTCATAGGAACATACATATTGATAATTACCTAAACGTGAATGGATTAAATGCTCCAACCAAAAGACACAGGCTTGCTGAATGGATACAAAAACAAGACCCATATATATGCTGTCTAGAAGAGACCCATTTCAGACCTAGGGACACATACAGACTGAAAGTGAGGGGATGGAAAAAGATATTCCATGCAAACAGAAATCAAAAGAAAGCTGGAGTAGCAATACACATATCAGATAAAATAAACTTTAAAATAAAGAATGTTACAAGAGACAAGGAAGGACAGTACATAATGATCAAGGGATCAATCCAAGAAGAAGATATAATAGTTATAAACATATATGCACCCACCATAGGAGCACCTCAAAACATAAGGCAAATGTTTACAGCTATAAAAGAGGAAATTGACAGTGACACAATAATAGTGGGGGACTTTAACACCTCACTTACACCAATGGACAGATCATCCAGACAGAAAATTAATAAGGAAACAAGTTTTAAATGACACAATTGACCAGATAGATTTAATTGATATTATAGGACATTCCGTCTGAAAACAGCAGATTACACTTTCTTCTCAAGTGCATATGGAACATTCTCCAGGATAGATCACATCTTGGGTCACAAATCAATCCCTGGTAAATTTAAGAAAATTGAAATCATATCAAGCAACTTTTCTGACCACAACACTATGAGGGTAGAAATAAATTACAGGAAAAAACCCCGTAAAAACACAAACACATGGAGGCTAAACAATACATTACTAAATAACCAAGAGATCACTGAAGAAATCAAAAGGTTTTTGATAAACCACAGCAAGATCCTTTTTGACCCACCTCCTAGAGTAATGGAAATAACAACAGAAATAAACAAATGGGACCTAATGAAATTTCAAAGCTTTTGCACAGCAAAGGAAACCATAAACAAGACGAAAATGCAACCCTCAGAATGGGAGAAAATATTTGCAAAGGAATCAATGGACAAAGGATTAATCTCCAAAATATATAAACAGCTCAAGCAGCTCAGTATTAAAAAAAACAAAGAATCCAATCAAAAAATGGGCAGAAGACCTAAATAGACATTTCTCCAAAGAAGATATACAGATGGCCAAGAGGCACATGAAAAGCTGCTCAACATCACTAATTATTAGAGAAATGAAAATCAAAACTACAGTGAGGTATCACCTCACACTGATTAGAATGGGCCTCATCAGAAAATCTACAAACAACAAAGGCTGGCGAGGGTGTGGAGAAAAGGGAACCCTCTTGCACTGTTGGTGGGAATGTAAATTGATATAGCCACTATGGAGAACAGTATGGAGATTCCTTAAAAAAGTCAAAGTAGAATTACCATATGACTCAGCAATCCCACTACTGGCATATGCCCAGAAAAAACCATAATTCAAAAAGACACGTGCACCCCAATGTTCATTGCAGCACTATTTACAATAGCCAGGTCATGGAAGCAACCTAAATGCCCATAGACAGATGAATGGATAAAGAAGATGTGGCACATATATACAATGGAATATTACTCAGCCATAAAAAGGAACGAAATTGAGTTATTTGTAATGAGGTGGATGGACCTAGAGTTTGTCATACAGAGTAAAATAAGTCAGACGAGAAAAACAAATACTGTATGCTAACACATATATATGGAATCTAGAAAAATGGTACAGATGAACCAGTTTGCAAGGCAGAAATAGAGACACAGATGTAGAGAACAAACATATGGACACCAAGGGGGGAAAGCGTGTGTAGTGTGGTGGTGGTGGTAGGATGAATTGGGAGATTGGATTAGTGTACATATGTACACTAATATGTATAAAATAGATAACTAATAAGAACCTGCTGTATAAAAAACAAATAAATAAATTTTTAAAAACCCATAAAACTATTACTTGATTTTCTTTAATTTCTTTTCATTTCATTATTTGAGGATTATTGATTCAACTTTCTATGTTATTGGAATTTAAGCACATTTATAGTGTTCCTGGTTCTTAAGGAATGCAAACTGCATTGTAACTAAAATGTCTCTTTTTGAGAAAGCATTTCTTTAAAAACACATATATTTGTGATGCTAATATAAGTCACTTTAAATTCAATTCTTAGCTTCTCCTGCCTTCAGCTATTTTTCTGAGAGAAATTTGGTATTTTTCTTGCAACAGGAGGTTGGCTGCATTTTTGACAAACATAACTGAAACACATCCTTATGGAATGAGCCGTTACTCCACCGATAAGGAAAACAAATATAGTATTTACGTTGCTGACACTTTGCCTACTGCTTAGCTTGTTTATGATTATTAGATAGAACAATGTATATCTGGAACCTACTATATTAACTCAGGTTTTAGGTAACTCCATGGTAGAAATCTCCATTAAGCTACATGAGATGTAAATGAGTTCAAAATTAATTTTCAAAAGTGAACAGAACAACAAAAACATTTGATTTTGAAAAGGAGACAACATGAAAATAAATTCCTATTCTTAAGAATTTAGATTTAGTTTCCATCTGTAATCACTGAAAGAAATATTAATACAAAGTTATTTCTGATGGGTTCCATATGTTACTTTTCCATTGGGAAATTAATCTTTATGATGTATCCATACTTTGTGCTAATTTGGAAAAATCGGTTATGAGTATATTTAGATTAATTTGGGATTGCAAAGTTTTTCTGTGTTTCAAGCAATGCTCTGCCTCCAGGAAAAGAACATATAGAGAGATGTTATGCACAATATTTAGAATTACTGTGGAATTGGTGAAGAACTTAAGGGTTTTGAAACTAACCTGGGTGAAATGTCACATCCTTGCTGCATAAAAGCACCCAAGGAAAACCAGAGGCTGTTAAAGATGCCAAACTCATTGGGAGGCTGATCACTGGGTCCTTCCTTTCCATCTTCTGGCTCTTCTGTGTGCCACTCATATGGACTAAACCTACTAACTAGGAACAAGACCACGCTGACACCAATGTAGGCAAAGACTATGCACATCCAAATCTCATAGGCCAGAGGATCCAAGAAGGAAAACACTCCTGGTTTAGATTTCTGAGGCTTTTTGATCATAATAGATATGCCCAAACTCATGAAGGGCTTAGAGAAGTCAATGACCTCCTCTCGGACCAAAGTGATTGTCAGAGGGGCAATAGCAATCTCTGCTTTCTATAAAAGAAAAGACACATGAAAACATGTAGGTTAATAGATTTCATGAAGCAAGTAGTACTGGATTGATCCATTCAAAGTTAACCAGTTATGTATTTATTCTACATTTTTTGGGGAATACCAACAATAAATAAGACCAGTGATAAATACAAAGATGAACAGATTTGTTTTCATAAAATATTATATCACTTTAATTGCACAGAATATTTCTATTGGTGCTAGTAATTAGATGAGAGGAAGAGAAAACGAGTAGACATAAGCAAAAATAACTTGAATTCAAATAACTGCCTTAGTCTTTAAGGGTCTGAGATGGCGCAGAGGAGGATACTCGATAGCTTTTCCATATGGTTGAATTTCTGAATTTCTTAGCCAGAATTGCTGCTATTTTGCAGTGTTTTCTGTTTCATTTGGAATGTTGTCACTGATTCATTACGTGGCCATTCCTTAATATTATGAATTGTGAATTTCAAACATCCTTTTCTTTTTTATTCCTTTCCAGTTATGAGTAAACCTATCATAAAGTCTGCGTTTGTGAGATAAAAGAAACCTATTGTCTGACAACATTTTTTGACTCAGCACACACACACAAACCTGGAAACTGACATTTATTTCTTCCTATTCACATACTTTGATTTCTACTTTCAATTTCTAAAAATGATTTTGGAAAACAGTGGATTCAATTCTCATATATTATTATTAATAAGACACCAGCTTCCATTTTCATTTTGTGATTCTGAGTAATTTTTCTGAGCCTTTTTCCATATCTCTAAAATGAAGACATTTTCTTTCCTGTTTACCTCATTGTGTTATTGCAATTATCTGTTAAACAAGCCTTAATAAAACAATAGTAAGCATTTAATGAGGGATTATGTGTCTATGCTGATTTAAATATTTGGAATGGCTTTTCACTTAACCTTCTTAAAGAGATAAACAATCTTACGTTTATCATTGTTTTATAGATGATGAAACTGAGACAAATGAGTTTTACACATCATAGCAGCTCTGCAATTTGAGACTGTACTTCTTCTATTAAATCATGCCATCTCTAAAATCAAATGAAATAAAGTGTGGTGAAAAAACTAAATTGTTACATGATCTACAAATGAAAAAAGGTTTTTTGATTATTTATTTTAAAAGGAAAATATTTGGCATTGAAATGGAATCTGAAACACAGACATATATGCTCTTACATAGTGGCTGCCACTCTTACATTCACTCTATATCTCCTCAGGCCCCTGGATTGATACAATGGCCAGCAGCTTGATACAAAGGCAACTGGAGGGTTAGCATGGGGAATGTACTCTGGCTGTCACGTTTTCCACTGGGTGACTGAGGATTAACTGCATACACTTTCAAGTGGGAATAAACTTAGTTCACATCACAAATGCCCACATATAATACAAAAGCCAGAGAATCATTGCTGAGAGGTTATTTCCCCATAGTTATTATTATCTGTATAATTTTCATTATACAGTGATATATGAAGTAGATATAGAAAAATTAGTATATAAAAACAGAACCAGAAATTTAGGAAAATTTATCTTCATTTCCTTCACCTACTCTTATTATTTTCTTTATATATGCCCTACTAGACATTGTTTTATGAATATTAATTTCTTATTTTAAAATGGGATAATATATAACACTATATTTTATAATTCCTTTTCTCAAGAGAATGAGTTATTTCAACATTATTTCAACATATATAGTAAAAATAAGTTTTAATGATTGCAAATATTTTATCATGTTAAAGCATCAAAATTTACTCAATTTATTATTTTGGGGGTATTTATATTGTTTCCAGTTTTACACAATTTATAATAATGGTGATGTGAACACCTTTGAAGACAAATCTTCACACATATCTTTATTATTTAAAATAAATTTCTAGAAAGGGATTGCTGGTCTAAATGATAACAATCTTTTTAATGTTCGTTACATGTTTTGCCCAACTTTTCTCCAGAAAGATCATGCAAATAGCACTGTGGGAAAGCACCTTCGGCTTTGAACCTTGGATACCCCGTGTATCTTTATTCTCATCTATCTTCACCAATTTGCTAATCTCATTGTATTGATTTGAATTTTTTTTTGTAAAACAAATAGCCACTTTTACTCCTTTTATGTATTACTTGTCATAATCTGCCCCATTTCCATATGGGGTATTCATTTTTTTGCTTACTAATTTATGTGTTTTAAAATAAATATTAAAAATATTATTTTTCGTATATGTTTTTAATATTCCCCCAGTCATCAGTTTTGGTTTACATTACTTAGTTCATGATACTTTATTGTATTATATATGTTTTAAAATTTTGTTGTAGCCATATAAAATTATCTTTTTGTGTTTTCAGCCATTGGTTTCATGCTTAGAAATATCCTTCTCATATCATGATTAATCTCAATCATATATTTTATTCTAGTACCTATGCTCCCTCTATAATTTATCTAGCATTTTGCATGATAACGTATCACAAAATTGTCCTGCTTTCCCAGCAGGAATAAGTGAATAATGCATTCTTTCACTGATTTGAAATACCACCTTTCACATACTACAATGTTATGTGTAGTATATTCTGAAATTTTTTATTTATACAAGTTACCACTAATGAGAGTAAGCCTTAAAAGTAGAGAAGCATGAAGAGAAATAAAGGAGTCTCCAACACATAAAACTAGATGCAATGGAAAGCAAGCATTAGATGATAGTGTGACAGCAATGTTCAATGAGGACACATTTGAAGTTCTGAAATTTGTGATTTGAAAGAGGCCAGTGAACAGAGGATACATCTGAGTTTTCTCTGCTAACATTGGAGATGTTGTGTTTGCCTTGTTCCATTACCTCTCAGTGACTTCCAAAATTGTGAGAAATATCTCCTGTAAGAACCTGATAATATTTGGATTCTCAAAGACCTCTGGAGTAAGGCTCATGAACCAGCATTTTAACACACACCACAGGTAATTCTGGTGTTGGCAGGCCATGGAACTTGCTTTGAGAAAAAAAATCCCTTGGGTTAAAATATACACACACAAGTACAGCGGGGCCCAGAAGAAGGCGCTGGAGCAGTGTACCACAGAAGATCATATAATGAACTTGCTGCAGTGTGCAGGTGTGACAGGCAGAATGGACCTGAGAGTGTCACGGAGGTTTTGAGCTTTGGGGTAACCATCTGGTGGTGTGCTGAGATTACATATGCCTGTCTCACAGATAATCTATCCCTAAAAATTACAGTAACAAAGTTTGCAAAGAGTAAAGTAAAAAAAAATGGATTCAAAGTTAATCATTTTGCTGGCTTTGTTGAGTATAAGAATATAGATGGGGTTTTATTTAGGGCCCTGCAAACTGGGATTTCATGTAAGTATTAGCAGTAAAAAGAAAAAAAAAGTAGTTGAGAAACAAGTAAAGACTTTGCAGACACCAGAATGGAAAATATCAAATCTGTGGAAAGTGTATGAGACATGGAAAAAGATTCCTTTTGGGAAAAAACTGGACAACTCAAGTGGCAAAGATCAGATTATTTAAAACCTAGCAGGCTGGCTGATGAATGAATAAGCATTAATAACCATTATGTTATCTTCTCTCTCTGAGAACTGCCTGACTTTGGGACTTTCTGTGCCTGTGACACGAGTACTACTGATACAAATTTTTGGTGTTAATTACGTTACTCTCTTCATATCACCTGTTTTCATTATTTAAACAATATTCTCCCACTAAAATGTGGTCAGAACCCTTGCCAAGGGGTGAGCCTGGGCTGCCAAATTGGTAAGGACTCCAGAGGAGAGATATGTAACAAATGTCTTAGAAAGTAACTCTGGTTAGTTATCTGGTCCATAATTAATTGGTAATCCAAGAATGAGTTTTTGAGATCAAATACTCAATAGTGTCTTCTAAAGGATATGAATTAGTGTAGTTCTAACATTTAGGTTAATGTTCACATTTAAAGTCTAAAAGTTTAAAATATTACCAATGAACACATGCTTTAGGAACCCTTTTTCTTTAGGACTTAAAACTCAATATCAAACTGTTGATGAGCCCTGTGATAAAGTACTTTTTGATTTTTTAAAACTGCAAATTTAGTTTTCCTCACTTAGGGCACCTAACTAGTCAGCAGTTCTTTCAAATGAAGATAAAACTAACTAATTGCTCTTTAATGTCAAACAATTTCTTCTTGCTGCTGAGGTTATAGCTACCATACTGGACTGTGTGGAGAATGTTCATTGCTTCACGGTCTGAAAAGCAGGATGCAGAATCACAAAACTATTGAATTGCAGTTCTGGCTCGGAAAGTGAACCCCTCTATATATTTCAGTTATGCTCTAACTTGTTCTACCTTTATTCTTTCCTGGCGAAGGATGACTCTTGTGTAATTCTTTATTTTTAAAGGGGTCTTGTGAGAATTAATCAGACAATGTGTTTTGAAGGTGAAATTTGTGAAATATGAATTAGCTTATAGAAAGTTTCAGAATACATTTCAAGTGTATGTGACTTATTGGTTACTTGATGAATAGAGCTTACTGTGAGCTCTAGGTTTGTTTTCTGGACTTTGGAAATATCATACCTTCACTAGCATTTGATAACTGTTGGCTTGATTTTAACACTTTGCAGTGGAACCTGAAGAGACCGATCTTGTTCTGGTTCAGGCAGGAACGTCTACATTGAATTTGCCGTTGGCTTTCAATATATACACTCAATATCTTGTGAACTCAAAGGGAAGGGCATGACATGATTTCATGTGAAGCTCATTATGGAATAAATTCTAGCTTTTGTGTTTTGTTGTGTAGGAAAAAATGATGTTGTTGCATTAAGTTTAAATTTACTGTGTTCAGCAGAGTTGTAAGAACTTCACATTATTGGTGAATACTTTAATATATGTTAAAATAGTTTACTGATTGCTTCACCAATAACTTAAAATATATTTACCAGTAAATACAACCAACAGGGATATAAGTAACTCTCAAAATAGTTCTCAAAACAACATGTCTATGGTATAGCAGCATCAGGCTTAAGAGAATAATCATGGCAGATACTGAAGTCAGTGTTATTTTTTATAAAATAGGACATTGTATTCTGAATTTTTATCTTTTTGAAATTATCAAGTATTAGTTTCTCCCATTGTTTGGAAATTGCATTATTAATGAAATAGAGAAACATTTGACATCGTATATGCTTCTTTGAATGTAACTGCAAATTTAAAAGACAACAGTAGACATTTAAAAATTGATATGTGCCCACATGAAAAAAAACTTCAGGTTTATGTAAGTAAATTTTCAATAGATTGATTTGCTTACCCCATAAACAAGTTCCCCTACCATCCCATTCCAGATTTTTGTGTCTGCATCCCTTGCTCCATATTTTCCATCAGGGACAATGGCAATTTTATACTTGATACCAATATGTTTTGCAATTTCAGATGCCAAATCTACACAGTATCCTTCATACTTGTCATTTCCTTCAAACATTTCATGATTTTTCTTGTACATAACATATGGGGATTCCTATAATGAGAGAAGTAGAACTGTAAGGGAGAAATTATAAAACATTCAAAAATTTTATGCAACTTTTCAGTTTCAGAATTTAACAAAATATTATGTTTAGTATTAGTACACACACTGATTTTGTGTGGCAAGAAATTGATAGTAAAGCAGATGAATGTATAAATGTGCTTAGAAGTATATTAAGTTGCTTTACATTGGATACTAAAAATTAAATCTTTAAAATAATTTTCTCTTGAGTGATTATTACGTACCTAGCACTGTGACTATGATAGGAAAAATATACATTAATAATAGACTAGAGAAGCATAAATTATCATTTATGGCAATGAAATGACTATTTCCAAAGTATCTCATGACCTGAAGACTATTTAGGAGTCAGCTTCGTGTAATAAAAGACTCATTCAAAGTCACAGTTCTCCGTATTCTGCATCTTATTTAGCCACATTCAACTGAGACTTTCTTTAGGAAAAGAGCTCTATCATTCTTCTTTGCTCTTTAGCATTTAGCAATATGTCTTTCTCAGAGCAGGCATTATTAGCAAGTTCAAAGAAGAAATGAATTAGTAGTTTTAAAAATTTTATATACTAATTTACATTAAATTGGCTTTCCTAAAATTGTCCTATATTTTGGCTTTAATTAGGGCTGTGTTCCATGAATTTTTATTCTATTATAAAATATGTTTCCAATGGAAACTAATAATTTTTCCCCAATTGTGACAATCACACACTTCAAGTAATATTCCCATTTAGTTTCTGAAGCAAGTAAGACAAAATAGCATGAAGAATTATTGTGAAAATCCTTATAAAATGAAAAAGATTACTGTTAACTAATAATAACTGAACAGTTTTCAGTACACATACACACACACACACATACACACACACCTCTAAACCAAACCATTTAAAGTCTGTGAAACCAAAGAGACATGTTAGCAAAAAAGCACTTGATTTTATAAATAAAACCTAATGCCACCAACTCAAAGATAGGCCTGGTGAACACACAGTGCGTACAGAACTCCTGGTCACACTTCAGATTTTTTAATCATTTGCAGACAAGGAGTGACCACTTTTGACCACAGTGTCATTGAAGTAATGATTCATATTTTATAAAATTGTACTGTGACATTTAGTAATTTTAATACAAATCTTTTCTTTTCTCCCAGAAATCTGTAGTTGGGAAAGTTGAACTTGCTCTTAAAACTCTGGATTAGAAGGTAATTTACTTTGTATTACATGGCAGTCTACACTAATTCTGATTTTGTTTTTAAGTGCTTTGTAAATGTAGAAACTATTTCTAAAAACTTAATAAAACTGTACATTACATGATATATGATTCTCTCATAGAGATGCCTAAATAACTCTATTGTGGGAAATTGTATAGCATTGCTCCTTGTATTGTTTTCTTAAATCCTGCCTTAGGTAGACACAGCCAAGTGACCCAGAAGTCTCTCACTTCTTCCTTGAATTTGATGAATATTCTAACACTGGACTTGGGTAAAGAAAGTTTCTCCACCAACAAAATAAAGGCCGCTAATTGTCTCTTTAGATAGATGAAAATTATTTGTTAACTTACAGAAAACATTCTCCAAATATGAAGCATTTTTCAAATTATGAATGTGGTTATGAAAATCGGTGAGTTGTTGCAATACATTGTTAACTTCTAAGCTATGCTGTGGAATATTAGTAGTTAAAATGAACTAATCCTTTCATTATTTCTTGAAATAGCTAGTTAAAATATGGAAGAATATGTATAAAAAAGCAAGAATCACACATTTGCAAAATGCTTAACATTCTAATTGAAATGGCTGTTAGTATAACAAACAAGAGGTTTTCAAAAGGAATATTGCTAAGGTTCACATTTGGTACTAAGGTTGATAAATTCTAAAGTGTCTGAAATATTTGAACACATGAATTTTAGCCCTCAAATATGTATACTACCATATTAGCTTGTGTACAGAAGTTTCTCTAGCTAGTATTATCATCTAATTTGCAAAATCCCCTGTACATTATATAGTGAACAATTTGCATCATTCAAAGCTGCATTTTTAGTATTTACTTAAATATTTGTTAAACACCCACTGTGTGCCAGGCAGCTTGCTGGGAACTAGGGGTACACAAATAAATAAAATATCCCCTTCGTCCTCTTGTGATTAAGGTTAAATTCTTTTTAATAAAGGTAAAGGAGTGAGAGTGGTAGGGGACAATAATAAAATATAGTAGTAAAAAATAATATTAGCCCTCACTTATTTAGTGCTTACTCTGTGTCAGTTACAGAGTTCTAAGTTCTTAATTGTTCTTTAATTGTGCTCTTTTATTTACTTTTCACACTGCCATTTTGAGGTAGGCATTTCCCATTTTGCAGATGGAAAATTTAAGCTTAGGTTCAACAAATTGCTCAATTTCACAGAACTAGCAGGAGTGAGAGTTGAACCTATATTTTGAAATATCTGGACATTTTTGAAGCTATTGTTGCATCTGTCAAAATATATGCAACCATTTGAGATTTCATATGATTTAACAAGCAAGGTGACAAGATTAGATAAATGAATTTCTATATTTTTAGTGAATGAAATTCTCTATATGAAATCTTGAGTAAACAATGTAGATAAAATCTTTCCATATTTCCTCATCGTGTCTGGTACTCAATAAATATAAGGCATTCAATAAATATAAAGATCTCCTTGTCTATCGGTGCTTCCTAAATAAGAATATCATGGAAAAGTAATTGTATTGGAACTTCTTATTCAGATCTTCAAAAGGAAAGTAAATATTGACAAGTTCCAGGTCACCTCTTCTGAAACAGGTACATGTATATATAAATACATGTATATATAAATACAAATTTATTTAGTGTTTTCATCTTTTTCAGTTTCCTTTTTGGATAGCAAGGGCACATCAGGTCTTTGTTTTCCTGACAAACGAACCAATAAAGGCTAGAGAAACCTTCAGCTTACTGAAGATGTTGATTAGAACAAACAAGGGCATGTTTGTTTGCACAAACAAGGGCATGCATAATTGTTGATATTCAGGTATTGGTGCATGGAAATTAAGATAAATAAGATGATCACACTCAGGAAGATGGAAGAACAAAGGGAGAGAATTGCTAGGCATTTCTTGCAGGAAACCTCTCATAGTTGCTCAGTTTTTCCCAATTTCTTTGAGTGTGTCTCATTTTCCTTTTCTTCCACATCAACTCCAAATTAGCAGCAAATCCTCAACACTTTCCCAACTTCTTCATTTGCCCCATCTTGAATCTGATAATTTATCCACAAGTAGCCCTTCAAACACTGCATACTTGAGGAGATTCAATACAAAGTTTGGGGGCTACTACAGGTGAAGAAAATACCAAATCTTTTCAATATAATAAAAAATGAGTTATAGCCAATCATTAAGGGGTATTTGTGGGCCGTTTTTGTTACGCAACCTTATGGAGCCCCAGGTGTTCAACTGTGAATAAAAATGGAATATAACCTACCATCTTTGTTATCAACTACTTTGTTCTGTGGGACAATAATTCCTTAGAAGTTATTTGAAATGCACTACTTCTTAGTGACTATGAGTTTATTACCACAATTTCCATAATGCATAGTGTTCTACATCTGCTCTGCAATTTCAGGAAAGAAATCAATCTCCGTTTAAAACTACTACATTAGGGTTTGCTTATGAAAATGTTTGTGTAAATGAATTAAGATGATTTTCAATCAGTAAAGTATCATTTTCCTGTTGAGGAAATTCTTGTTTGTATTTAGCAAAAGTAAAACTATTGAAATATATATATTTATTAGAAAAGCTTTAAGGTTTTCTAAACATCACAAATATAATCATTAAAATTGCTACTTGAAAACAGTTAAAATAATAAAATCAGTAGCATCAACAAAAGTTATTTGCTATGTGGATATTTGTTTTTCTCCAAAGATCTTAATGTAGATAATTTATCCCATGTGTAAAATTCTTAAAAGTGAATATTAAAATGTTATTATTCAATACATAAAAAATGAGTAAATTTAATGGCGGCACAGTTTTAAACTTATTGAAAATAACTTATTTAAAAACATTGAGTTATAAGCTCTTTGGAGGCAGGTGTATGTATGGGGAAGATTAATATCTGGTACAGGAAGAAAATAAAAGTATCTATTTTCTGTATCGGTATATACATATATGTGTATATAAATATGTATGTGTATATTGTATACACACATGCATCTATGTATAGTGCATTTACAAAATTCTACATAGAGAAGATAAAATATCAAACAACGCATAAAAAGTATAAGAAATATTCCTGGAAGGACTAAGTGGTATAAGTAAAATTGCTTTAAGGTTTATAATGTAATTCTGAGTCTACGGTGAATAAATTTGGGTTTTATGGAAAAATTTCCAAAAGGACTGTTATGTTCCTATGATGGCAAGAAGTACATTCTTACTTTAGTAAGGCATCATCAGCCTCTTTACCTTCAGTGGTAAAGATTTGGGGAAAAATGGGCTTGGCTGAAATATAACTGCATCATCTCTCTTTTTCCAGAGAGTTCAGCCAAAGAAAGTAGTGAGATTACAGAAGAAATCACCACTACGACGTCTACTGCAAACTGCCTTTTCCTCAATTGCTGCACTTACCCAAACCACATGGCACAGATTTGGCTTCCTTAGGTTGTTTATTTTGAATGTAAAATGTTAAACCACTGTATGGTTACAGTCTCATAAATTTTGCAAATTTTTAGTCACTAAGACTTAGAAAAAATGAAGAGCATCTGAATCTAAAACTTTAGACCCTTCAACTTTGTAGTCATGATTCTCATGTGATGATATTGTCAATTTTACTTTTATTTAGATTTAGTTAAGTTATATTCAGTATGACTATATTGAGGAAGAATACATTAGTCATTAAAATGAAGATCACATGTAGATATAAAACAAATAGATTTCAGAAATTCAAAAAGCTAAAGACGCTTTTTATTTAAGAATGATATCTACTATACTTATTTATCATGTTTCTTGTCTGCTTTCTCTCACTAGAATGAAAGTTCAATTGAGAGTGCAGGATTTTTGTCTGTTTTGTTGGCTAACATATCCCCGGGCTTATAACTGTGCCTAGCAAATAGCAGACGCTTAATAAATATTTATGAATGAATAAATGAATTTCTCAATCAACTTTATTTAACAGTATCATATACTATTACAGTGTATCAACATGTAAATAACAATATACACAAAGGAAAAACAAATGGGAGAACAGCAAGGCCATATCAATTTCGATCAAAATGAATGAGTTCCAGTGCCACAACACTCTCAGCCTTCTTTTGTGTCTAGATATCTGTCTTGCACATAGTTTAATACCTAACCAATTCCATTGCTGTTGGAAGTTTTCAACTGAATTTGAGGGGTTATTATACACTGGTGCCAATATCTCATTCATTTATAAGGAAGAATATTTCTTTCAAAATGAATGAGATGATGGAGATGTCATAGGTCCTGGAATATCATTTTCAACAAAAGCAAATATAAGGAAGGATTCTAGCTTTTTTTTTTTTTTGAATTATTGAAGTTGCAAAGGTCAGAGGCATTATTTATATGGAGACTACATTTTTATACAAAAGACAGATACTAGTATTGCACTATTTTGATTGCAAAAATATTGGTGATATCACTGTCAAAGAACAGATAACTTTACAGAATAGTCGTTATGTATATAGGAAACAATTGGATTCTTCAGTAATTTGTACTTATTTTTTGACAGCATGCTTCCTGAAAAACAGCCATGCTTGCAAAACTAATTCAATATTTTGGTTTTAAGAATTATATCTCCAGCTCCTTTAATAACAGAAAAAAAGGAGATTCTCTACATTATATTTATAATGCACATTAAAACACTTTATTTCACATATAACAGGCAAAATTTCAAAAAATCTTTAAAGAAAACAACTACGTGTATTCAGAAAAGAAGGACGCAAATTCACAGATATTTACTTTTAGAAAATCTATGCTTGGAATTAGAAGTATGATATTTCCATCATTTACATACAATGACCTCATTTCCAGATATGGGAATGGATACATCAGAATTAAGCGACTCTTTTTCAACATCTATTTTCTTGAAAAAGATGAGGATTAATTCTTCTTTTGTTTTAGTATCTCAGGAAAGTCACAGAACTTAAAAACTTTTTTTTCTGGTTGTCCAGAGTTGGTCATCCAAGAAGAATCCCACATGAAAAATTAGCTTAAATTTACTACACAGGAGAACAAGACTTGAGCTTTAGTTAGGAATGGTCGAACAGCGTGGAGCTCATTTCTTTCTTGATCAATTCCTTAAAATAGGATTCTTCATCAGAGGCTGAAAAGAGGAGGACTGAACTGAAGTATGACTTTCCATTACTGTCTTTTTTAGGAATGTATATATATATATGTATATTATATATATACATATATATATATATTTAAGTCCCATGCAAATATTACACAATTGAGTTAGAAGATACATATTTTGCATTCTTACACAAAAACTGCTGTTGGTTGGTTTGCATTCTAAAATTATAAACTTCCAACTAAGTCTTGGCAGATTAACATTAAGTTTCTAGCTGGTGATGCAACACTGATAAAATTAACTGCAACATTATGAAAGCTTTTCTCTGGCATTTTCATGCTTTGACCTCCATGCCAAAATTTTGGAAATAACTTGACATTACTAAAAGCATAAAATTAAAATTACACAAGCTAAAGACTAAATTACATAAAATACTTCCACTTTATTTAGAGTAAGGGCTTCAAAAGTAGTTAAAAATGTGTTCTGCCTAACGAGACAGTGAGCTGAAGATATATAACTTTAAATTAGATAGAAAAGGTTACCGATTGTTGATCTCCTTTGACTAGCATTGACTCTAAAAAGCATGTTTGAATTTAGAAGAGAAAAATATGAGGCATCATATTATTTAAAAGATAAGTTCACGAGAATCTCTTTGAAAAAGCAGCCTTAAAATTTAGAGTATTTTTCATTTTATGATGTGACTGAATGAATATCATTTTTCTTAATTCCTAGGAGAATTCCAATACATTTTATTGTGTATTTGTCACAGGTCAATGAGAAAAATAATCGGTATAAAAACCCCTTTATGCATTAAAAATAAATATAAAATAAATTTATTTCTAAAGCATAGTTGTGTAAAACATACTCATTAAAATCTTCACATCCATACCTCCACTATTATAAACAGACAATGCAAATCATTATTAAATGGATAAAGTACCTGAAAATTATAATTTTAAACACTATTAATGATTATTACATTGGTGTTTTAAAAACATAATAACAACAATGATATGATGTTTACTACTGGATATTTTTATGTGATTAGTTGTTGATCTTTTTCATGTTTATTCTTTTGTCCTTTGAAATCTTAGCATTTCATACATTTCCAACTAGAGAGCTTCAATTTTTAACATCTGAGCATTTTTCCAAGAACAGCAATGCTACAAAAGATAATACAAATAAAAGTACTAAATGCACTCAAAGTTCAAGACAAACTTATTCAAAGCCTCGATAGACTTTTGTGGATCAGAACACCCATGCCACCATCACTAAGATGCAGCTTTCATCCTCCCTGTTCACTGTAGCTGGGGAATTAAAATTGCCTGCGGACAAAATGGAACATCATAAAGCACAGACCAAAGCTTACCATAATAGTGGTTACAATGACTGTTCTGTTCTCAATAGCTGCTGTGTCATTGCCAAGAGTGGGCATATCTTGAATTAAGACTAATTTATCCATATCATTCCAGTACCCAACCTGCCAAATACAGAAAATTATTGAAAACACATTTTAGAAGAGTTTTCTTTAGTTCTTATCAGGGCAATGAGAGGTATTAATAAGTAAGCAAACAAAACAAATTTATAAAGCACACAGTAATGTGTTTGGAAGTTTTCTTAATTGATAATGAGCCAGTTTTCCTGATGCTAATGATACTGCCTAGTTATACATTTGGCAAATTTGCAATTTACAATCATGGAGTAGCCAAGACATTGAGAATGGATGAGTTCAAAAAAGAAGGTGGATACAGATGGAATACCATTTGTGTTGATCCTCTTGTAGTGAGATTGATTGGCACCTTCTGTAACTAATTTACATGATTTTATCAATAATGTTACAGGTTTTATGGTAAAGGGAAGAGTCAGATTTACATAGGGTACACATACAAGATGTTTTCAAGAAAAAAGACTTGTGTATTTTTAAAGCAATATAGAAATAGTTTTTGGTTTCACATAACCTAGCCACTAGTCTCACCATTTTTAAATGCTAAATACATCAGATGTTAATATTAATGATTACTTAATATTTTCACTTTTGAAATTTTTTAATTTTTTCACTTTAAATCCTTATATTACTTCTCATTTAGATGTGGAACAAACTCCTTTCCATAAAATATATGAAGTAATTAGTTAAACACTTTACAAAGTAACTAAATGGGGTCCTAAAGGAAATTTAGGGTTCTTTTTATCATGCAGACCACTAAGTAATACTAATGGCTACCACTTCTTGCCTGCTTCCTCTCTGGGAGACATTGTAATGAATGCTGTTTAAAAAATATATGCATCTTAAAGTTTATACACATAGCAAATGTAAAGGTAGGTGCAATTACCAGTCCATATACTTTGCTATTATGCTACATAAACTCCCAAAATGGGTGTTCATTTAATGCTTGCCAAACTTCTTTCTTGAATTTCTGGATGCAGTTGATAAAACTCATATTTCCAATAAAATGTATGTAATTGCTCACTGGTCTGTAATCACTATTTGTCCCAATATGTTTTGAAAGTCTCTCTTGCTTCCTCCAAGTTCTTAACTCTCATGTTAGTATTTGTGAACATTTTAAAATAAAGTAAGCATTAGCATATCAGAAATAGACACTATATTATTCACAAATATTCAATAACAGAATAGACATAAAAAAGAATTTTCATTAATATGGTTTGCTATATTGCTTAGTTTGATCCAAAATTATGAGTATAAATCAATTCAGCAATTATTTTCAATTGCCCATTTGAATTTATTTATAACTAATATTTATTTAATGAGTCAGTGAAAAATTTAATTAAAACAAAACAAGTATGACTTTGAGACCTATTCTCTCTTCAATTCCTACATGTACTTAAAAAATAACTTAAAAAACATAGTTGCTTCCTGTTAGTTTTCCTTTCCACATGACAGCTATACAACATAAAAATAGGTTTCACAGTTTAGTACTCCGTTAAGATGCAGCCACCTTCCAGATCTCAGCAGCCCATTTTCTGGGAAAGCAATTTTTCTTTATTAATGAGTTCCCACAACAGAAAAACTACAGATCTGGGACACATTCTGGAGAGTCTTCGGATGTTGACAAGACCTTGATATTTTGCAGTTAAGAACAACCTGTGTGTTCATGACTATCTCCCCCCACCCAAAGATAAATGATTTAGAAGTACTGGCAAATTAAAATAATACGCAAAATTTTACCCAACTGTATCTATTTGCCTTATATCTGCTTGAAATTCTGGTGAAAAAGAAAACCATGGTTTGTGATATGGAGCCATGGTTTGTGCATAGATCTCATGTGGGCTACGGACTTTTTGGGAAGTAGGACAGTATGGGGTGAACAGTGATATAAGGGTCAATTCTTAAAGGAATATTAAAGTTTGTACCTAGAACTTCATATGAGATAGAGTTTTTCTCTCAAACTTTTCACAACATTTCACAATTTACTAGGGACACTTCCCATGCCTGATCTCATTTAATTAGACAGGGAAAGAGGCACTTTTTTCCTAGAGACAGAAATTCGGTGAAATATAATTTTGTAATGTTAAAGCAAAACCATGGAAGCATTTAAATTGCTAACTGGCAGGAAATGTCGGAGAAGTATTTGTCTTCTTTGGATTCCTAAAGGTGAATTGTGCACAAATATAACCATAATATAATATATGAGTAAATATCTCCATATTTATGGTGGACTTTGCCTGCAATGTAGGGATTATGTAGAGATTGAGGGGCTATGAGAAGCCCCTGTTCTACTCAAAGTTGGTTCCTGGGAGAGCTGATTTGACCAGACCTGTCCTGAAAGATATGGCTTAATTCTCATACCAACCCTCAAGGGAAAAGTTATGGGCCCTGGTACTGATAATATTTTGTAACAGTTAAGAGAGTAGCTTTGAAGCTAGATGAGCCTTAGTCTCCACCCCAGCTCCATCTCTTTCTAGTTTAACATCCCTGAGCAGGTTACTTAGTTTCTCTGAGCCTTATTTTCTCTTCTATAAAATGAGAAAAATACATCTTACTTTCAGGTTGCTGTAAGGATTAAATATTAAAATGCACATCAGTTTCCCTTTACTGTGTCTGGTGTATAACCTGCTCTCAATAAATACAATTTTTATGATTAAGAATTCCTGAAACCACGCAAGCCTGGTTTTAGAGCATTCTTGAGAGATCACTGGAATGGCAAGAAGATTCCACCATACTTAGGAGCTGAGACTTCAGAAAGAGCTTTGTGGCTTCTGCTTAATGAGACTCTCACTCACTTTCCCTGTTACGGAAGTCAGACAAACTGATGGGTTAACTCTCTGATCTATTTTCAAAGACCGCTCTCTTACTGGCAAGTGTTCAATTTAAAAGAATGGTTGCTCGCTTTTCAGACGTATTGCCAAGTCTCACCAGCAGAGTGTTTCTCATGGTAGTTCAGTTTTAAGTTTAATATTCCTGACAGAGTGCCCAAGAAAAACAAAGATGGATGAGTCTACACCATTTCACATTTCATATTTCTTTTAAGAGTCTTAGACAAACGTCAGCTGAGTGTGAAGATGTACCATTCCTCACTTTTCCAACTTATTCTTTAACTTTCTCCTCTAAAAACCTTAATTTTTGTTACCATCATGTTTCAATAGGCCATGAAAAGATTCAGTGCCGTAAGTAGCCCACTTGATGTTACCACTAGTTACCACCAGCTTCCTTTTTCCATTATTCTTTCTTTTATAAAGAGATCATTTTACTTTTTGTACTTACTGTTTTGTGAAATATGGAATTGTCTTTTGCATTTTAGAAAGGTTCTACTTAAATGGCTAATTTTGCAGAGTCTGGTTTGTGGCAGGCTGGTCACCAGTTAGCCAATGATTTTAAGGACTTACGGAATATTCTGTCTGCTCCACAGCTAGCAGAGGGATTTTGCTTAAAATGGGCTTCTTTGTTTCTTGTTGCTGGCTGTGTGCTGACAGAGTGGGTAAAATTGGTCTTTACATGGAACCTCCTAACTTTCTTCTTGGGAGCATGTCAGTCCCTTTCTTCGGGTAGTACCCTTAAAAGAGCCCATCATACAGCTTGGCTTTCAAGCTGTCATTCCATCTCTTGCCCTTACCTGATCTGGATCAGATAGGCTCCTGCTTACCCTATATTAGCTGGCAGCCTGCACTAAAGGAGATGCCACTAAAAGGCTGAAAAGCTAGAGATGGTTTGCATGGCAGCTCCAAATCTCTCCTCACACATATGCAGAAGCACATGCTATGACAGACTGGAGCAAAACACAGCTTGGAAAGTCTTTGCCATCTTCCATGTATGACTTTAATTATCCTGCGTCCAGCCTATCCTCAGGATCTTGCCTCTACCATTTCCACCTATCCAAACTAACTTCATGACTAACTTTAAATCTCCCCCGTGCAGCCTTCTTTGATTTGTTTTCCTCCAGCTGGAAGTGATCTCTTCCTCTTTAGACTTTCCACATGCTTTCTCTTTAACTGTCGTATGGAACTTACTATATTCTATGCTACTAGAAAATAAACTCCTTTACAGCAGTCTACTCAGGCAGGGTACTAGGTAGAAAGGTTCTGGAGTCAGACATATCTGAATTAAAAATCTTTGTTTTCTCACTTGTAGGCCTTAGACAAGTAACCATAGCCTATTGCACTGTAACTTTCTCACTAGAAAAAAGGAGATAATTGTACTCTGTTACAGGCTTATTGTGAGGATTAAATTACACCAAGTCCAGTGGTTGGGACATAGCAGGCATTTCATAAATTGTAACTATCATTATTATACTAACAAAGGAAAGTATATTGGGGAAAGTTTTTTTAAACAGCCAGGTGTTGAAACAAATAGTTTTTAGATAAGGTAAGTTGAGCATGTCTTTCCTTGAGCATCCTAGCTAATGCTAGAGAAAAGAATGTTAAAAAATTATATGTGTTAAGTATGTTTATAGCCAATTGCTGTGGTGGAATTATATTGTTCCATTATATAAAGTACTTTTTGGACATTGGGAAAACTATGCTTAGTCACATCATAAGAAGACTTGCAGAGTTACCTTCTGAAATCCAAAAGTCTTTCATCATCAGCTTCCTAAACAACCTCCCTGGCTCCTCAGTTGATGTTCTTAGGTGTTTCTCTCCCTCTTCAACCTAACAATAATCTTAACGATATTATCTTCCATCTCCTCTTTTCTTTGCTCATTTGAATGTTTACTTGCTTATTTCAGGAACATTTAGCCTGTTCTAAATATGCCCTTTAGAAGTAGTCTTCTTTGTTGTCTCTCTAATAGTTTCATAAATGACTACATGGAAGTGAGTAAGTCTCTTACCTACATTGTGTGCTTTCTTGAAGAGTACATTATGGGTTCTGTGGGATTTTTTTGCTAAGCCTTTAAAAATATTGCTTCTATTTTGGATAAATATGTAAACAACATGTAAATTAGTTCATTTCAGCTTTGGTACACCACTAAATATCAGTCATAGAACACAAGAATTTATTTCAGCATGAATTATCAAGAAAGTATTATTTGCTAGTGTAGTTGACCCTTAATCAACACAGGTTTGAACTGCTCAGGTCCACTTTTACACGGATTCTTTTCATAGTAAATACTACAGTACTATACAATCTGTGGTTGGTTGAATCCTCGGATGCAGAACTGCAGCTATGGAGGAACCACATATATGGAGGGCCCACTAAAATTTAGACCTGGATTTTTGACTGTGTGGAGGGTCAGAGCCCCTAGCTCCCACTTTGTTCAAGGGTCAACCATATTCACAATTTTTAACAAATGTAGACTATCCAGCTACCTTTCACCTATAAGGCTTTAAAAATGTCAAATGAAAACTAAGAAAACAGTTGAAGTGTGGCTCACCTTTCTAGGTCCTGTGCTCTTTAGCTCAAACACATCCATTGTGTAATTGACCCTACGTCCATAGTGGTCAAACTGAACATTTCCTGTCAGCCCTTGAATTTGAACCTATGAATGAAAAAGAAAATCCACACATGTAATCACTTGCCATTTTAATGACAGAAATCTTGACTTCATCTGCTAGGCTTATGACTACACATGGGTATGGAACTATAAATTATAAGCAACTCACTAAAAAACCATGGGATATTTGAGCTACTGGGATAGAATCTGAAAGAGGAATATCAAAGTAATATATAAGCAATTCTGTTATGTGTTTGGGAGATGAACATGTTTTATTTATTTATTTTTTATTATGAAGTTCCCATTGTAACTAACAAAATACTCCCTCAATATTGAAATATTATTTATAGGAATGGAAATATGGTTTCTTTTATAGTTACTTTTCTGTTTTATCTGCATATCCACATAACAGATTAAATAGCCCTGATAACCACATCGGATCATATTTCTCCTCGCTAATATTAAAATTAAGATATAAGAAATCCAGAAAAATAAACATATTTTTGAAAATATTCAAGTGTACTTTATTCCAAATTTCCTTTTAATTCATTTATACTTAACTTACGTTCTGAACCCATGGCATTTCAGAACATTTAAGATGTAATACTAAAAATACAGACATATCACATTAATCACTTGAAAAATGGTGTTAGTATTAACTATTAAAGACTAAAATAAACAAACAATCCAAGGTTACAGGCAATTTAAAGATCTACTGAGAAGAGACCTTCAAGATGGTGGAGGAGTAAGACGTGGAGATCAACTTTCTCCCCACAAATACATTAGAAATACATCTACATGTGGAATAACTCCTACAGAACACCTACTGAATGCTGGCAGAAGACCTCAGACTTCCCAAAGGCAAGAAACTCCCCCATGTAACTGGGTAGGACAAAAGAAAACGGAAAAAACAGAGACAAAAGAATAGGGACAGGACCTGCACCTCTGGGAGGGAGCTGTGAAGGAGGAAAACTTTCCACACACCAGGAAGCCCCTTCACTGTCCGAGATGGGGGGTGGCGGGATGGAAGCTTCGGAGCCACTGAGGAGAGCACAGCAACAGGAGTGCAGAGGGCAAAGCAGAGAGATTCCCACACAGAGGATCAGTGCCGACCAGCACTCTCCAACCTGAGAGGCCTGTCTGCTCACCTACCAGGGCGAGTGGGGTCTGGGAGCTGAGGATCTGGCTTCGGAGGCCAGATCCCAGGGAGAGGACTGGGGTTGGTTGCATGAACACAGCCTGAAGGGGGCTAGTGCACCACAGCTAGCTGGGAGGGAGTCTGGGAAAATGTCTGGAACTGCCTAAGAGGCAAGAGAACATTGTTTCGGGGTGCACAAGGAGAGGGGATTCAGAACACTGCCTAAACAAGCTCCAGAGTTGGGCACGAGCCACAGCTATCAGAGCAGACGCCAGAGATGGGCATGAAATGCTAAGGCTACTGCAGCAGCCAACAAGAAGCCTGTGTGCAAGCACAGGTCACTATCCACACCTCCCCTTCTGGAGCCTGTTCAGCTCACCACTTCCGGGGTCCCGTGATCCAGGGACAACTTCCCCAGGAGAACACATGGCACACCTCAGACTGTTGCAATGTCATACCGGCCTCTGCCGCTGCAGGCTGGCCCCACATTCCGTACCCCTCCCTTCACCCAGCCTGAGTGAGCCAGAGCCCCCAGTCAGCTGCTTCTTTAACCCCATCCTGTCTGAGCAAAGAACAGACGCCCTCTGGTGGCCTACACGCAGAGGCAGGGCCAAATCCAAAGCTGAACCCCAGGAGCTGTGCAAACAAAGAAGAGAAAAGGAAATTTCACCCAACAGCCTCAGGAGCAGCGGATTATACCTCCATAATCAATTTGATGTACCCTGCATCTCTGGAATACCTGAATAGACAACAAATATTCCCAAAATTGAGGTGGTGGACTTTGGGAGCAACTGCAGACTTGGGGTTTGCTTTCTGCATCTAATTTGTTTCTGGTCTTCTGTTTATCTTAGTTTAGTATTTAGAGTTTATTATCATTGGTAGATTTGTTTATTGATTTGGTTGCTCTCTTCCTCTTATTTTTTAATGGTTGCTCTCTTCCTCTTTTTTATATATATATATATATATTTCCTTTTTCTCTTTTGTGAGTGTGTATGAGTATGGTTCTGTGTGTGATTTTGTCTGTAGAGCTTTGATTTTACCATTTGTCTTAGGGTTCTGTCTGTCCCTTTTTTTTTTTGTACAGTTTTTAGCATTTGTTATAATTAGTGGATTTGTTTTTTGGTTTGGTTGCTCTCTTCTTTCTTTCTTTATTATTACTTTTTAATTTTTAATAATTTTTTAAAATTTTATTTTAATAAGATTATTTTATATTTTTCCTTCTTTCTTTCTTTTTTTCTCCCTTTTCTTCTGAGCCATATAGCTGACAGGATATTTGTGCTCTGGCTGGGTGTCAGGCCTGTGGCTCTGAGATGGGAGAGCCGAATTCAGGACATTGGTCCACCAGAGACCTCCCAGCGCCATGTAATATCAAACAGCAAAAGTTCTCCCAGAGATCTCCATCTCAATGCTAAGACACAGCTCCACTCAACGACCAGCAAGCTACAGTGCTGGACACCCTATGCCAAACAAGTAGCAAGACAGGAACACCACACCACCTATTAGCAGAGAGGCTGCCTGAAATCATAATAAGGTCACAGACACCCTACAACAAACAACCAGAAGCAGACTTGCCCACCTGAAAGACAAGATCCAGCCTCATCTACCAGAAAACAGGCAGCAGTCCACTCTACCATGAAGCCTACACAGCCCACTGAACCAACCTCACCCACTGGGAAAGGACACCAAAAACTATGGGAACTATGAACCTGCAGCCTGTGAAAAGGAGAACCCATCAGAGTAAGTTAAGCAAAATGAGAAGACAAAGGAATACACAGCAGAGGAAGGAGCAAGGTAAATACTCACCAGACTAAACAAATGAAGATTAAATAGGCAGTCTACGTGAAAAAGAATTCAGAGTAATGGTAGAAAAGATGATCCAATATCTTGGAAATAGAATGGAGAAAATAAAGAAAAAATTTTAACAAGGACCTAGAAGAACTAAAAAGCAAACAAACAATGATGAACAAAACAATAAATGAAACTAAAAACTCTCTAGAAGCAAACAATAGCAGAATAACTGAGGCTGAAGAACTGATAAGTGACCTGGAAGATAAAATAATGGAAATAACTATTGCAGAGCAGAATAAAGAAAAAAGAATGAAAAGAAATGAGGACAATTGTCTCAGAGACCTTTGGGACAACATTTAATGCACCAACCTTCGAATTATAGGGGTCCCAGAAGAAGAATTGAAAAAGAAAGGGACTGAGAAAATAGTTGAAGAGATTATAGTTGAAAACATCCCTAATATGGGAAAGGAAATAGTCAATCAAGTCCAGGAAGCAGAGAGAGTCCCATATAGGATAAATCCAAGGAGAAAAAGCCAAGACACATATTAATCAAACTATAAAAAATTAAATACAAAGAAAAAATATTACAAGCAGAAAGCGAAAAATGACAAATAGCATAAAAGGGAATCCCCATAAAGGTAACAGCTGATCTTTCAGCAGAAACTCTTCAAGCCAGAGGGAGTGGCAAGACATATTTAAAGTGATGAAAGGGAAAAACCTACAACCAAGATCACTCTATCTAGCAAGGATCTCATTCAGGTTTGATGGAGAAATTAAAACCTTTACAGACCAGCAAAAGCTAAGAGAATTTAGCACCACCAAATCAGCTCTACAACAAATGCTAAAGGAACTTCTCTAGGCAGGAAACACAAAAGAAGGAAAAGACTTACAATAACAAACTCAAAACAATTGAGAAAATGGTAATAGGAACATATATATGGATAACTACCTTAAATGTAAATGGATTAAAAGCTCCAACCAAAAGACATAGGCTGGCTGAATGGATACAAAAACAAGACCCATATATATGCTGTCTACAAGAGACCCACTTCAGACCTAGGGACACATACAGACTGAAAGTGAGGGGATGGAAAAAGATATTCCATGCAAATGGAAATCAAAAGAAAGCTGGAGTAGCAATACTCATATCAGATAAAATAGACTTTAAAATAAAGAATGTTACAAGAGACAAGGAAGGACACTACAAAATGAGCAAGAGATTAATCCAAGAAGATATAACAATTATAAATATATATGCACTCACCATAGGAGTACCTCAATACATAAGGCAAATGCTAACAGCTATAAAAGAGAAAATCGACAGTAACACAATAATAGTAGGGGACTTTAACACCTCACTTACACCAATGGACAGATCACCCACACAGAAAATTAATAAGGAAATACAAGCTTTAAGTGACAAAATAGACCAGTTAGATTTAATTGATATTTATAGGTCATTCCATCCGAAAACAGCAGATTACATTTTCTCTTCAAGTGGTCATGGAATATTCTCCAGGGTAGATCATATCTTAAGTCACAAATCAAGCCTTGGTAAATTTAAGAAAATTGAAATCATACCAAGTATCTTTCCCGAAACAACACTATGAGACTAGATATCAATTACAGGAAAAAAATCTGTAAAAAATAAAAATACATGGAGGTTAAACAATACGCTACTAAATAACCAAGTGATAACTGAAGAAAACAAAGAGGGAATCAAAAAATACCTAGAAACAAATGACAGTGAAAACACAATGACCCAAAACCTATGGGATGCAGCAAAAGCAGTTCTAAGAGGGAAGTTTACACCAATATAATCCTACCTCAAGAAACAAGAAACATCTCAAATAAACAATCTAAACTTACACCTAAAGCAATTAGAGAAAAAAGAACAAAACAAACCACAAAGTTAGCAGAAGGAAAAAAATCATAAAGAACAGATCAGAAATAAATGGAAAAGAAATGAAGGAAACGATAGCAAAGATCAATAAAACTAAAAGCTGGTTGTTTGAGAAGATTAACAAAATTGATAAACCATTAGCCAGACTCATCAAGAAAAAAAGGGAGAAGACTCAAATTCATAGAACTAGAATTGAAAAAGGAGAAGTAACAACTGACACTAGAGGAAAACAAAGGATCATGAGATATTACTACAAGCAACTATATGCCAATAAAATGGACAACTTGGAAGAAATGAACAAATCTTAGAAAAGCACAACCTTCCGAGATTGAACTGGGAAGAAATAGAAAATATAAACAGACCTATCACAAGCACTGAAATTGAGACTGTGATTAAAAATCTTTCAACAAACAAAAGCCCAGGACCAGATGGCTTCACAGGTGAATTCTATCAAACATTTAGAGAAGAGTTAACACCCATCCTCAAACTCTTCCAAAATATAGCAGAGGGAGGAATACTCCCAAACTCATTCTACGAGGCCACCATCACCCTGATACCAAAACCAGACAAGGATATCACAAAGAAAGAATATTACAGGCCAATATCACTGATGAACATAGATGCAAAAATCCTCAACAAAATACTAGCAAACAGAATCCAACAGCACATTAAAAGGATCATACACCATAATCAAGTGGGGTTTATCTAGGAATGCAAGGATTCTTCAATATATACAAATAAATCAATGTGATATACCATATTAACAAATTGAAGTAGAAAAACCGTATTATCATCTCAATAGATGCAGAAAAAGCTTTTGACAAAATTCAACACCCATTTATGATAAAAACTCTCCAGGAAGTAGGCATAGAGGGAACTTACCTCAACATAATAGAGGCCATATGTGACAAACCCACAGCCAACATCGTTCTCAATGGTGAAAAACTGAAACCATTTCCTCTAAGATCAGGAACAAGGCAAGGTTGTCCACTCTCACCCCTATTATTCAACATAGTTTTGGAAGTTTTAGCCACAGCAATCAGAGAAGATAAAGAGATAAAAGGAATCCAAGTTGGAAAAGAAGAAATAAAGCTGTCACAGTTTGCAGATAACATGATACTATACATAGAGAATCCTAAAGATGCTACCAGAAAACTACTAGTAATAATAATTAATTAATAATAATTAATGCACAGAAATCTCTTGTATTCCTATACACTAATGATGAAAAGTCTGAAAGAGAGATTAAGGAAATACTACCATTTACCACTGCAACAAAAAGAATAAAATACCTAGGAATAAACCTACCTAGGGAGACAAAAGACCTGTATGCAGAAAACTATGTGACACTGATGAAAGAAATTTAAAATGATGCAAACAGATTGAGAGATAGACCTTGTTATTGTACTGGAAGAATCAGCATTGTGAAAGTGACTATACTACCCAAAGCAATCTACAGATTCAATGCAATCCCTATCAAAGTACCAATGACATTTGTCACAGAACTAGAACATAAAATTTCACAATTTGTATGGAAATACAAAAGACCCTGAATAGCCAAAGCAATCTTGAGAAAGAAGAACAGAGCTGGAAGAATCATGCTTCTGGTGTTCAGACTATACTACAAAGCTATAATAATCAAGACAGTATGGTAATGGCACAGAAACAGAAATATAGATCAGTGGAACAGGATAGAAAGCCCAGAGGTAAACCCATGCACATATGGTCACCTTATCTTCGATAAAGGAGGCAAGAATATATAATGGAGAAAAGACAGTCTCTTCAATAAGTGGTTCTGGGAAAACTGGACAGCTACATGTAAAAGAGTGAAATTAGAACACTTCTTAACATCATACACAAAAATAAACTCAAAATGGATTAAAGACTTAAATGTAAGGCCAGACAGTATAAAACTCTTAGAGGAAAACATAGGCAGAACACTTTATGACATAAATCACAGAAAGATCCGTTTTGACCCACCTCCTAGAGAAAGGGAAATAAAAATAAACAAATGGGGCCTAATGAAACTTAAAAGCTTTTGCACAGAAAAGGAAACCACAAACAAGATGAAAAGACAACTCTCAGAATGGGAGAAAATATTTGCAAACGAAGCAACTGACAAAGGATTAATCTCCAAAATTTACAAGCAGCTCATGCAGCTCAATATGAAAAAACAAAGAACTCAATCCAAAAATGGGCAGAAGACATAGACATTTCTCCAAAGAAGATATACAGATTGCCAACAAACATATGAAAGGATGCTGAACATCACTAATCATTAGAGAAATGCAAATCAAAACTACAATGAGGTATCACGTCACACCGGTCAGAATGGCCATGATCAAAAACCTACAAACAATAAATGGTGAAGAAGGTGTGGTGAAAAGGGAACCCTCCTGCACTGTTGGTGGGACTGTAAATTGACATAGCCACTATGGAGAACAGTATGGAATTTCCTCAAAAAACTAAAAATAGAACTACCATACTACCCAGCAATCCCACTACTGGGCATATACCCTGAGAAAACCATAATTCAAAAAGAGTGATGTACCACAATGTTTATTGCAGTACTATTTACAATAGCCAGGACATGGAAGCAACCTAAGTGTCCATCGACAGATGAATGGATAAAGAAGATGTGGCACTTATATACAATGGAATATTACTCAACCATAAAAAGAAATGAATTTGAGTTATTTGTGGTGAGGTAGATGGACTTAGATTCTGTCATACAGAGTGAAGTAAGTCAGAAAGAGAATAACAAGTACCGTATGCTAATGCATATATGTGGAATCTAAAAAACAAATGGTTCTGAAGAACCTAGGGGTAGGACAGGAATAAATATGTAGACGTAGAGAATGGACTTGAGGACACAGGGAGGGGGAAGGGTAAGCTGGGACAAAGTGAGAGAGTGGCATGGACATATATACACTATCAAATGTAAAATACATAGCTAGTGGGAAACAGCTGCATAGCACAGGGAGATCAGCTTGGCGCTTTGTGACCACATGAAGCAGTGGGATAGGGAGGATGGGAGGGAGATGCAAGAGGGAGGAGATATGGGGATATATGTATATGTATAGCTGATTCACTTTGTTATAAAGCAGAAACTATCACATTATTGGAAAGCAATTATACCCCAATAAAGATGTTAAAAAAAGTAAATAAAGATCTACTGAGGTAGTCAGTAGATTAGTAGATTAATAGCGTTTGCCAATGTTTGAGGTTCTTCCTCATTCTTGGCCCAAGGTAGGCTTGTACTTCTTGCACCCTTTTTGGTTAGCTAGGTCTATGTGACTCTTTCTGACAAATGAGTTGTAAACAGATGTGATGAGTGCCAGAGCATTTAATTGCCAATTAGAAAACTGCCCATAACTCTTTGCCCTTTGTAGCATTCAAGATGGTAGCTGCTATGTCAGCTTGGATCCCTGAGTGATTATAATAAACAAAGTGCCCCTACTAATCTGGTGTTTGTGAGTGAGAAATACTCTTTTGATGTTTTAAGCCACTGAGACTTGGGGTTGTTTATTACTGTGGCATAACCAACTTATCCTGGCTAAGCATCTACATATCATATAAACATCAGTTTTCTATCCAGTATCCTATTTAGAAATGTCTCAGAAATGAAAATGGTTCAATATAATAAAATGGCAATTGTAATATATATTTATTCACAGATAGATTATTCTGTTTTCTTGAATACGCCATTAAAAAATGTCTGTGAAATAAATTGAATGTAAATAAAATTGTGAGTTACCTGTTTGAGCGTCCTCTCCATGTCAATCCCCTGGCCCCATGGAGCAGCAGGATTTGCCAGACAATCCCCAGCATTTCCTCTCCTGGAAATATCAATTTTCTGTCTCCTAAGACTTCGGAATGTTTCAGCCATCACAAGGACTCCATCATAAGTCAGAGCAGATGTATACTAACAAAATGAAAGTAATTATAGTGGTAAATGTTAAATTCTTATCAATCACCGGAATTGGGGACTAGTCTGGGGACTCTGTTTGTTTATGACATAAAGTACCATGCTGCCAGAAGGGCAGTTAAATTACTGATAATTAATTGCCTCTAGCTTCAGAAATTTCTATTATTGCTTTATTACAAAGACTGTATATCAATTCTTAACACTGTGGTTTTAAAAGGAGAAAGCACACTCTGAAAAATAGAAATTCTAATGCACAATTTTCCATCAGTTGGGAGAAGCAAGGCCTCTAGGTGTGGTCTTTTTGTTGTGTCCAAGTGAAACAGCTAAAGTATAAAAAAAAAAAGACTAAATGCCGTAATCTCTTGCTGTGTTTGAACCCCTGGAGGGCTGTAATGTCTTACTCTTTCCTCCTCCAAATGCCCATCAGGAGTCCCTGAGATTTAATATATGTTTATTGACCTGGAGTATATAACTGTCCAGTTTCTCAGAAGAATGAGTAGGAATGTTTACTGTTACTCAGATATAGAATGCCAGAAATAACATCTATTTATTTAACAAGTGTGTATACACATGGCTAAATAAGCACAAGTATTGTTATGTCCATGCCTGTTGAGTGTGCTCAGGAACGTTAAGTCATTTCTCTAAGTTTTTATTGTAACTTAGGATACAGTGGAGAAATGAAATATAGGTCATCTGCTTTCTGATGATTGTCCCATGCGTCTCTTTGAGAAAAGACAAAACTCTCAGGAAAAGATTATTAAGGTTAGGAGAGGAAATGAGGAAAATCTGAGAAGAAAATGTGATTTGTTTAAGCTGAAAATAAAAAGAACAGGGAACAGTTGTAAAGTTTGATTAGAAAATTCCTAAACATATGAAACATATGGAACAATTCTCTTGAAGTGTGGCAGAGCATCAACTGCTAGTCATAACAAAAAAATACATTAGCTCTTTCAGGAATTCCATATGGTCAATTCTATATGATTAACACATTCTAAGCCTATACAAGAGGTACTTTTGTGCTATGGAATGTGGAAAATGATCCTGAATTGCTGCTTATAAATTAATAAAAATCGTTTGAAATTTAAATCACAGAAAGTAAACTTAGGCAATATACCTGCTAAGCATAGCAGTCAGCGATCCTGGGAAGAGAAGGACTAAAACGTGGATAAGATAAAGAATATAAATTCTAACAAAGAACCTTTCAATGGCAGAGAATCTAATTAAAGCTTCATCAGAAAGATTTATGTGTGACTTATAAATTATAAGCCTTGCTATGTATTCTTCAAGGACATGACAAAATAGGCTTAATGATAGCATACACCCTCATATTTGGAATGGGATGGTCGAAGGAAATTAAGACACTTAACCAAGGTACTCAGCCAAAAATGGACATACCTCCTCCACTGCCTGGAACAACATACCTTTGAGTAGAGAAAGCCATCAAATCATCTTTCTGGATGGCAAGAAAATAAAAACAAGTAATAAAGTAGAACTTATCAAAGATATAAAGGGCAAGAGAAAATATGCAATGCTAGCATTTTAGGATCAAGGAGAAGAAAAGAAAACTATTGTTCCTTTTCTAATAAGAAGAAAGAAGCTGAGAGATATGACTCCAAAAAAGCAAAATCACTTGCTGTGTTTTAAAAAGTCCATTCATTTTTATGAAACAAGTGAACTAGAAAAGAGAACAGATATTGTATAGAGTAGAGCAGAGAAAAGCAGACATTCAGCCAGAGTGGCAAAAGCTTTTGACGGGTCATAGAGCCGATAGATGGAAAGAAGCAGTAGTTTAAACTGGTTTTACCATTTTAAAGGATTTCATTCTTTTCCATGTGTCTTATTGTGCTGAAGTCCAAGAAACCATATTTATGGGCACGCATTTCTAGATGGTATCTAGAAATTCTTATTAAACATACTCTTCATTTTGGAGGAGAGTAAAACTAAGTCTTGACCTAGAGCTATTCACTGCTTTAACCAGTGATTAGAATGGTGGGATGAATTCTGTTTATCAACATTTGTATATAAAAATATAGAGTTTGGCAGAATCACAGCACAGTGGCAAGAATTTAGGTTTTGAGAACTAGGTGAATTCTAATTCTGCTATTCATAGTTTTATGGGAATATGTTGTACATTTTTCAGCTATGAAGCAGAACAAAATCAAACAAAATAATGACTATCTTCTGTGGTACTTGTGAGGATTGAATTTCATAGCATATCTGAGAGCTAGATACTGGCTAGGAATGGTGAAGGCTACAAAGATGGCCCAAAAGATGGCTGTCTAGTGCTCCTCAGTACAAGAAAGCTGTGATGTGTCTTATGGAAAAAAAATACATGTTAGATAAGCTTTGTTCAGGCTTGACTTATACTGCTATTGGCCATGAATTCAATGTTAATTTATTGACAATGTTTTAAATAAGATATCTTTAAACAGAAACACAGATAAAACAAAGTGTTATGTGTTGATTGTTTGACAAAAATGTAGTGACCTAACCTTGTAATTTCCCCTAGGAGTAAGTGTTCAGTATTCACTCATTCAGTGTTCATGGCAACTTTACAGAATGGGACTACCATGAACAATAAGAACTGGCTCTATCTATTTATTAAATGGCCACTGGGTGCCTACTATTATGCTAAGAAAACTGTGAAAGATGAGAAAATTATATGTATTTATATATAAAACAAAGTGCCCAAAGCTTTGACATAGATAAGTCTGGTTGGAGATGATCAAATAGTAAACATTGTGATAGGCTAGAGGCAAGACAGGGAAGGACAAACGACACCAGTGTGTCCAGACAGGAGGACCACAGTGGACACATATTATTACATATTATCACTGAAATGAAAAAGTCACAAGGTGCTGCAAAACACTGCCAAGAAGTTTGAAGCCCATTCTACATACTAAAACTGTAAGGGTAACAAGAACTTGAAGAGATGGTTTACAGAAAAAATGCTGAGATAAAATATGGCTGAGAAAAAGATGTGAGGAAGGAAGAAATACAAATAGAGAAGAGAAGGGCAAGGGAGTCTCTACATACATTGATGACAGAATAAGGGGAATATGCTGTAAAACAAACTGTCCCAATGAGTTTAGAAGGAAGCTTTACACTTTTCTCCTTGTGTATTAATACTTGATATAATTGAGCTTTTGGGATGATTTTTCTCTGAACCAGCTTGAAGGCAAAAAGACTAAAAGACTTCTCAAGTTTCTTTTAATCCTGAAGGTAGTTTACATCTTGAAAATTTTTTGGTTTTTTAATATGCTTTCATATGTTTTATCTAAGCATGAGAAGTGGTGTAATATAGTGGACAATGCACTTGTCTAAGACTCAGGGAACCCATGACTTGGTCCTGGGCATTCCACAAACCTGGTCCTTGACTCAGGGACAGCCAATTAACATACCATTTTATATCTTGTATTTATTAATCTGTAAAATCAGAGGGTTGGACTACAGTGTTTGAGCATAGTGGATACTCAATAAATGCTTTCTTTTGAAATTCCATGCTTCTATAGAGTAGTGAAAATGTTATGACTAGCCAAATTCCTATATTACAGAGAAGAAATTGACATGGATAGTAGAGAAAGTTTTATAATTAGGAAATGGAAGAACCGACTTGCTCTACCCCTAGATCATAGTTTTCTAGGCTAGAATTTCCAAATTATATTTGAAAACTTTTTACTAGAATACACAGTGAGAGATTAGTAAAAGTTGTTGAAATGATGATTCCTTTTTATGTAGGAATTCAAAACCATGTAGGAGTTGGAGTTTAAGAAACATTATGCCATTATTTACATGATATCTAAGGAAGTCATCTATCCCTTCAGGAGAGAAAAAAATGTGCTTATGATCAGAAATTTACCAGCTTCCTTTGTAGATAGCAATAACATACTTCTGCAATGTCTGTCACATAAAATTAAAAAATCTGACATTTCACTGTTAACTTGAAAGAGAAATTTTGCAGAAGCTTATACAGTTTACATTTCTACCAATTTCCCAATTTCCCTACTCATTGTAAATCACTTTGCAAATATATTTTTATCTGGGTGGAATAGCTACCAGTGGTTGTTCACATTTGAAATATTTAGTTAACAAAATTTTTTTAAAAAGCATACAATTTCTTCATGGAAATTCATACACAAAGTAATCATAAAATAATATAACAACATAATATAATATATATAATACAATATATAATATAATATAGTAAACTACTTGAACTAATGTCTAACAACTCCTCTCTTAAATATAGAAATTTAGAAGTTATTAAGGGCTGTGTGACAAATAGTGACAAAATATTTCTGCCCTATGCCACATTGTGTCTGGCAAAATATTACTAGGAAAACTGCATAATGAGCTTTCTACCTTAAATTTTAAAAAATACTAAAAATTTTAAAAATAGATAAGATAAAAACAAACAAATACCTTTGGAGGTGTCTCGGATCCTGGATATTCTCTCTGATCTAGTTTCTTCCAGCGATCCATTAATTTGGTTACCATAGGTGTATTAAAATCTACTAACTGGAATCCTGTAACATTGGCTCCACCATGTATAAACCTCTCAAGAGAAATATCCTTGAATCCCTATAAAAATCAATATGACAGTTTGTTTAGTTTATTATTATACATTTTGGCTCTTCAATGGTAACATAAATTGGTAATCAATATGATTTCTAATAAAGTGATGGCTAGAAACAGATGGAAGATCCAATTTAGCTGTTAAATTCTGTCATTCAAAGTTTAATACATGACACCACATCAACAAAAGAAAAGACAAAGGTCACATGATCATCTCAATAGATACAGAGAAAGCATTTGACAAAATTCACCATCCACTCATGATAAAAATTCTCACCAAAGTGGGTATAGAGGATACATATATCAACATAATAAAAGCTATTTATGACAAACCCACAGCCAACATAACACTCAATGGTGAAAAGCTGAAAGCCTTCTTGCTAAAATCTGGAGCAAGACAAGGATGCTCACTCTCACCACTTCTATTTAACATAGTATTGGAAGTCCTAGCCACAGCAATCAGAGAAGAAAAAGAAATAAAATGTATCCAAATTGGTAGGGAAGAGGTAAAATTGTCATTATATGCAGATTACATGATACTATATACAGAAAATCCTAAAAACTCCACATAAAAACTACTAGAACTGATAAAGGATTCAGCAAGGTATAAGGATGCAAGATTAACATACAGAAATCTGTTGCATTTCTTTACACTAACAATAGATATCTGAAAGCAAAAGTGTAAAAAATAAACTTTCAAAATCACATCAAAAAAAATTAAAATACCTAGGCATAAACTTGACCTCAGAGGTGAAAGACTTATATCCTAAGAACTATAAAACAATGATAAAGGAAACTGAAGATGATTCAAAGAAATGGAAGGCTATCCCATGCTCTTGGATTGGAAGAATTAACATTGTTAAAATAGCCATACTATCTAAAGTACATACAGATTTAATGTGATGCTTATCAAATTAGCCATGCCATTTTTCATAGAACTAGAATGAATAATCCTAAAATTTATATGGAACCACAAAAGACCCATAATTGAAAAGCAATCTTGAAGAAAAAGAACAATGGTGGAGGCATAACCCTCACAGATTTCAGATAGTACTACAAAGCTACAGTAACCAAAACAGTGTGGTCTTGGCACAAAAACAGACATATGGATCAATGGAACATAATAGAGAGCCCAGAAAAAAACCCACACACCTACAGTCAGTTAATCTTTTACAAAGGAGGCAAGAATATACAATGGAGAAAAGACAGTCTCTTCAGCAGGTAGTTTTGAAAAAGCTGGACAGCTGCATATAAATCAATGAAGTTAGTATATCCCCACACACCAGACACAAAAATAAATTCAGAATGGCTTAAAGACTTAAATATGAGAAATGATCCCATAAAACTCCTAGAAGAGAACATAGGCAAAACAATCTCTGACATAAATTGAACAATGTTTCATAGGTCTCCCAAGGCAAAGTAAATAAAACCAAAAATAAACAAATTGGACCTAATCAAACTTAAAAGCTTTTGCACAGTAAAGGAAATCATAAATAAGATGAAAAGACAACCTACAGAATGGGACAAAATATTTGCAAATGATGCAACCAACAAGGACTTAATTTCCAAAATATACAAACAGCTCATACAGCTTAATAGCAAAAAAACCACAAACAACCCAATCAAAAAATGGGCAGAAGACCTATACAAACATAATAGACATGTTTCCAAAGAAGATATACAGATGGCCAAAAGGCATATGAAAAAATGCTCAACATTGTTAATTATTAGAGAAATGCAAATCAAAATCACAATGAGGTATCACCTCACACAAATCAGAATGGCCATCTTCAAAAAGTACAAATAATAAATGCTGGAAAGGGTGTGGAGAAAAAGGAACCCTCTTACACTGTTGGTGGGAATGTAAATTGGTGTAGCCACTATGGAGAACAGTATGGAGGTTCCTTAAAAACTAAAAATAGAGTTACCGTATGATCCAGCAATTCTACTCTGGGACATATATCTAGAGAAAACTCTAATTTGAAGACATTTGCACCCCAGTGTTCATAGTAGCTCTATTTACAGTAGCCAAGACTGGAAGCAACCTAAGTGTCCATCGACAGATGAATGGATAAAGAAGATGTGGTAAATATACACTATGGAATATTACTGAACCATAAAAAGAATGAATGCATGCAGCAACATGGATAGACCCAGAGATTATCATACTAAGTGAAGTAAGTCAGATGGAGAAGGACAAATATCATATGATATCAGTTATATGTGGAATCTGAAAAAATGCTACAAATGAACTTATTTACAAAACAGACTCAACAGACATAGAAAATAAACTTATGGTTACCAAAGGGGAAGGGGTGTGAGGGATAGATTAAGAGTTTGGGATTAACAGATACACACTATTACATATAAAATAGATAAACAACAAGAGCCTACCATATAGCACAGGGAACTCTATTCAATATTTTGCAATAATCTATAATGGAAAAAATCTGAAAAAAAAAATATACACACGTGTGTGTGTGTATATAACTGAATCGCTTTGCTCTATACCTGAAACTAACATATTACAAATCAACTATATTTCAATAAAAAATCTAATACCTGAGAAAAGGATATAAGTATTTCTAGTTCAGTTCAACTCAATTTAACAAGTATTTCTGAAATGCCTCTGAGTGCCTTTTATGAAGCATGGAGGAGGATATAGGAGATGAATGAAAGCATCAAAAAGTCTTCTGTTGAGAATATAATTGCCCTCTGATACAGATAAGCAGATATGTGTCTTATGTGAAAATGCATCTTATATCAAGGTATAATGGTACCCTGAGTCTGTAATGGGTAACACTTTTTAGGGAGGTTCAGTTTAATTACAAAGTGGTTTTAAAGCAGACAGAGATGGCGACTTGAACTAGAGAGGGTGAAAGCTTTGATTACATCAGTCACTACAACACTCGTAGTCCTGGGAAATGGCAGTGGACAAGAAGAGAGCAAATAGGCCATTCATGTGTGATAGGGAAAAATATGGGGCCCACCAGGTGGAGTGAGGAAGGTGGCAGGAAAGGGTGTCATCTCACTTGGCCCAGAAGTAGTTATCTGAGTTTAAAAAATTCTGGAAAGTTATTTATTTTCTAACTGTATCTTTCTATCATCTATCTATCTATCTATCTATCTCACTATCATCTATCTTCCATATAGTTTATTTTAGAACAGGCCCTCTTTTTTCCATTAAGAATTTAAGGTACATTACAAAAATACACACCCAATTTTGTAAACAAATAAACAATTACAGGAAGAAGGCAAAAAGTGTATTACAGAAGTGAATTCATAAAACCAAATATATTAGCTCTGAGAAAAGTAAACCCCCCCCCACCCACACCCACACGAGTTTGAAGGATCTGTGCTTTCTTTCTTTTCTGTTCCCTCTTAGTATTTAGGAAACTTTCTTTTGAAAATGTGAATTTGATTCAGTCATGTTGAGAAAACTAAGGGAAAGTGTTTTGTCTATCTATCTATCTACCTACCTACCTATCTATTTATTTATTTATTGGTCAAAGTAAAATATGCAGCAGTGACCCTACAGTATAGTAAGATTCAGGGAGAAGAGGAAGACCTAGTGTTACCTATCCTCCTGCATATGTCTCAGCCATGATTTTGGAAACTTCTCTGTGTTTTATTTTAATAACAAAGGAGACTGTCTTACTAGCCAATATATGGAAGTTACTTTCTGGCTATCTAAAAAGAAATAGACCAGTCTATTGGCAACTAAGGAAGGTTGCTATAGAAAGACCCAGGAGTGTGTGTTCATAGTTAATATTGCTGCTGGGCTTATTAGGTACCAGGCACTGTGCTAAGCACATTTCACAGATTATCAATCTAGTTTAGTTCTCATAACAAACTTATGAGATAGATCTTATTATTAGCCTTATCTTACAAATAAGGAAACTGAGAATCAGTGGAGATCTATTCAAAATCTCCCAGCAAATACATATTAGAACCAAAAGACTCTTAAGTTTGTGTTTTTAACCCCATGGTCTTGTGTATTCTTACACAAATATGAGTTTTCAATTTTGGTATTTATCATATCCATAGGAGAGGCAGGGAGAAAGTGTAGAAAACAACCCAGGCTTTGAATCCCACTTCTGTAACTTTCTAACCTTAGGTTTCCCACATGCAAAATAAGAATGATAATGCTAAAGCAGCTAGCATCTGGTTTAAATTCAGTAAATAATAGATATTATTAATTAATTCATTCAACAAATATTTATTGCATGCTTATTATATGCTAGCTAATTTGACAGTTCATCAGTAATATTCTCATTTCACTGGGAAAGAAACTAGACACCAGAAATAAAATCCATGTTTTTGAAATTGGAAAAACACTGTCTATCAATTTCTAGCTAGTAAAATGTCAGTTGAACATTTGTTTGTTTCTATGAGAAGATAAGGCAGACAGAGGCAGGAAAATAATTTCAATTTTCTAAAAGACACAGTGATTCAACTATTGCATTAGCTGCTAATTGATGACATTTTATTTTATTTTAGCAGTGGCTGAAATAAAAGGCCTGCCAAGTTTTCTTTGATAGAGTTATCCCACAGCTGCAATACACACAGGCAAAAAACTGCAGCCTTCAGAAAAGTCATCTGATGTAAAGTCTAACTGATAAATAACAGTTCACATCTCTCTGATTCCATTCTGCTGCTATGCTGAAGGTAAAGGTGAAAATATTACCACATCTGATTACAAGCTCCTTTTAGTTATGATCTGAAAGAATGGTGGGTGGCTCAGTTAATTTTAGCTATGTCTGAGTACAGGCAATAATTTTTCCTTCATATATTTTAAAATAATTTTATACAGCAAATTGATAGGATCTAAATTGTGAAGCAGTTTTCTTGGAAACGGTTACTTTGGTGACTGTTTAGATTTCAGTTTTTACCCAGAGAATATTGTGGAACTGAAAGTTCTGAGAAACACTGTAATAAAATTGTAACTCTACAGTCCTGGGGCAGTGAGGGGAGGTGGTCAGTGGCTAAGTAACTAAGTAAATAAT